CGCGCTTGAATGTGCTGGTTGGGTCGGTCAGTCTTCGCCAAGCTTTCCTCGTTGAGGTGAGGTACTGGGTGTAAGAGACTTACTAGTAGTTGACGTCGGCGGGAGCATCAGTGCCTCCGTAACCCATCATGTCAGGAGCAATGACCCGGAGGCCCTTGGACAGGAGGTAAGGAATCTGGTTGCGCCATCCCAGGGACATGTCGGGCCACCCGTGGATGAGGAAGATCGTCCCTACCACCTTGCCCGCAGGCTCGGCGTGGATGTAGTTGTACCCGACGCCATTGATAGTGGCAGTCTGGAACTCGAACCCAAACTTGGTGACAGCGCTCATCTTGACTCCAGAATCAGCAAAAAGAACGAATGTCGAAAACGAATGTGAATGCTCTCAGCGATGGCACTGAAGAGACGAAATGGAAACCAAAAAAACCAGCGAGGAGCCCCCGCCGACTATGTAGTTCTTCATTCTCTCGTCCCGAGCCTCGGCTTGCGGCAGTGTAACGGTCAATCCGCGGTGGAGACCCCATGTAAGTCTCCTCCGGGTCCTACCCAATTTGAACGGCGAACCCCCTTTTTTCCTCCTCTTTTGGCATCTTGGCGATTTTCGCAGTGGAGAGGGCGTAGGCAAACAATGCTATATATGGCGTGACATCCGGTGACCCCGGTGTGATATAATTTTTTGTTGGTATGACTGACTCTTACCCAATGGGCCAGAATACTGAGGATGGGGGAGGGCAGAGAAAAAATCAAGTTGTTGTGCGGAACCAGCGACGTCAGAGTTCGTAGCGACCGTGGATGTTTAGCCAAGCCTGATTTACAGCGTAAAGCGTCATTTTTCACAGGTTTTAGTTGGCTTGGGGATGCATTTTAAGCAATTTAAGGCGGGCTGGGATCCCTTGCGATCCCTGTGATGAGTAACTACTGATAGAATACGATTATCTAGTGCCAAATCGGTGCCAAAATTAGCATGGGTCTTGACTCGGTGGAACTTTGGGAAACTTCAAGGCCACCGCAACCAAGTTGAAGCTTAATAACTGACGTTGGTCTGTGATATGACCCAAAAGTCTATATCAGCCATGCGGGATGGCGAATCTGGGGATTAATTACTTGCAGCTTGTACGCAGCACTTTGCACTGATCGCTGTGGCTCGCGACAACGCAGGTTGCTTGCCCATCCTACAGCCGTAAACCTTGGAGCTAGACCTTCTTTATGAAAGCCCTCTCTTGGACGTCCGTTTTTGAGAGCCCATGTTAAAGAGCTAACTCGTCGACTCGTTACTCTGAACAACCAGTATCTTGTGTCAAAGTATATGCCGGGGTTGCGGCTAGCCACACCAATTTGGGCCCTCACATTACATGTAGTCATTTTACTTCATCACAGGAACCGTCCGTCCTGAGATACCCTTTCGTGCGTATACAAATAAGTATATGTGCAAGGAGATGACGCCTGGCAGTGAATGATCCCTATTTGCCTCCTGCTAGCACCGGCCTAGGGCCTCTAAGTGAAACAGCTTAGTCTTCGCCACGGCTGGGAAACGTCGATGCCATTTTGGCTTCTGGGAGCCAGCTAGCTCAATTCGGCACGTTGTGTGACTACAGGTGGCTTGGTTGCTTCAGCTTTTTCTGCCGGCAACAAGGTCTCATTTATACCATTGGATGCGCTGCGGCAATGGAGCCTTCAAGACAGCATAAATCGACTCTTAGGAGCTGGTAGTCTTGAGCAGTCTGATCTGAGACAGTTCGTTCAACAGATTTAACATTATTTATTAACTCGGTATTTTGATTCGTCTTTAGAATTACCATTTTTTACTAACCCCAGAGAAACAAATAAACGCTGACACGATTTTAGCTTAAGTATTTCAGAAGGCATCGCAAAAATAAAGAAGGAATAAACGACCCAGGGACACATCAAGCCACGCTTAGCCACTAACAACAATGGCACCGGAATCCAGACATCTGGCACCATCGTTCCGACTGCTGACTGGTGCATCCTTCAACCTCAGAGGGTTTGAAGAGCCATCGACAGCAATACGCCAAATCTGCCCACTGCCGTTTTCCACCGCAAAAAGGTAGCCATCTGTGGTTGCGTAGCTCGCACCCCAGAAAGGCACCGTAGTCCCAGTTGCTCCTGTGAGGTTGCCCAAGTTGCGAACCACTGTGAATGCGTGGGTAGTCCGGCTCCAACGCAATAAGTAAGCAACTTGATTGCTCACGCCGACGGACCATAGATCTCCGCCTCCGACGCCAGGAACGACAGTCCAGTCACCGATTGTGTAACCGCCGGTACCGGTGAGCTTGCCACTAGTGACGAGACCTCCGTAATTTGTGGTGCCAGGAGCGAAGTTGTACTGATAGAAGTCGGCACCACCAGTAGAGATCCAATACTGGCCGTTCTCGTCGATGTCACCCGAGTTGAACAGGCCGGTTGTGAGCTTGTTGACCGTAGCGACATACGTACCCGTGCCGTTGGCCAGGATGCGAATGATCTTGAAGTCGGTGGCAGCCTCGTTCTGGGAAATACCATAGAGGTAGTCCTCTCTTGCATTATAGCCCAAGGCGTTGATGTTGCGCGTTGAGTCTCCACCTATGTTGTCGGCGATTTGGGTTCGCTCTCCAGTAGCCAAGTTCAGTGAAAACAGGGTCAGGGACTGAATCAGGAAGCCCGTAGTAGGACATGAGAATGCGGGGCCTTGTGTGGCTGAGGCGACAACTCTGGAAGAGGTCGAGGAAGTGCTTGTGCTACTGCTGCTCGAGCTGGAAGAGCTGCTTGTTGAAGTGGTTGTGCGGGATGAAGATGAAGTCGAGCTTGAGCTTGAACTTGAGCTGAAAGTCGAGCTTGAAGACGATGTCGACGTTGTACTAGTCCGTGAGGAGGAGGATGAGCTCAGCACAGTGGACGATGAAGTCGAGCCAAGTGTGCTTGTCGTGGTTGCCGATGTGGATGTGCTGCTTGGGCTCGAGCTAGTTGACGCCAGCGTGTTTGCCTGGACACTGACGCTGCTGGACGTAGGTGAAGTCGTCGAAGAAGACGACGATCTTGTCAAGGTCGAGAACGTGGAGGCGCTCGACGAACTTAGCAATGTGTTGAGCGCAGCGCTGGCGGAGGAGCTTGAAGAGGAGCTCGAGAAAGAGCTTATAGACGATGTAGAAGATGACGAGGTTACGGCTGTGCTCGAGGAAGAGCTACCAGAGCTCGAAGAGAGTGAAGACGACGTTGATATCCTCGTGGTTGATGTTGATGAACTTGTAGTTGACGCCAAGCTCGCGGCGTTGACAGCGACACTCGAGGATGAGGTGCTTGAAGGGATGCTGCTCGAGCTATTACTACTACTCGTGGAAGAACTGCTACTCGTCACGCTATTGCTGCTGCTGCCTGTACTACTTGTTGTGGGAACCAGAGCCGCGGGATTGATTGTGACACTTGTAGATGAATACGCAGAGGTACGGGATATACTGCTGGTAGTGAAAATACTGGCAGTAGAGCTGGTGGCAGAATTGCTAGTAGTGGCACTGCTAGATGTGGAAAGCAGGCTTGCTTGGTTCGCCGTGGGTGAAGCGGTAGAGCTACTCGGAGAACCACTCGAAGAGCTGCTTGAAGTGCTACTCAGAGATGCCGTGCTAAATATCGAGCTTCTGGTCGTCGAGGTGCTTGTCGAGGTGCTCGTTATGGAGCTTACTGTAGATAACAGGGTGGCTGCGTTGACCGTCACACTCGAAGAAGTGGGAGACGAGCTGAGAGCAGAGCCACTAGATGATGGGGTGGTAGTAGTGCCACTGCTAGTGGATACCGAGATCGAAGAGCTGGCAGAGGTGGGAGATGTTGAGCTGGTGGATGAGCTACTGCTTGTAGACGCACTGCTAGTAGTGGACACCAATGAGGCCGCTTCAACTGTCGGGCTTGAAGAAGACGAAGTGCCTGTTGATAAGCTGCTCGAGAACCTGCTCGTATCCGTAGAAGTGATGTTGCTGTTAGGAGCTGAGCTTAAGAAGCTTGCTGTGGCACTTGACGACGAGCTGATGACGGAAACACTGCTCGTCAGAGTCCCAATAGTGGAGGTGGATATCAAAGTAGCCGCGTTAAATGTCGGACTCGATAAAGTAGACGAGGACAAGGTAGTTCCTACAGAAGAGCTACTCGTTGCACTTGGTGAGGAGCTTGTTATTGCCCTGGAAGATGAAGATGAGACTGTTGAAAGACTGCTCGTAGAAGCGCTGCTGGTCGTTGATAGGAACGTGGCTGCATTGACTGTTGGGCTGGATGAAGAAGACAAAGAAGGAGAAGAAGACGTGCCAGGGAGACTACTAGTCGTAATTGTAGTACTGCTAGTAGGGTTAAATGTAGATGAGCTTGCTGACGAGCTGGAAGAGGGTGAAGAGCTGACTGCGGAGCTGCTCGAAGGTGCCGCTGTTGAACTGGTGCTCGGTGACAGTAACGTAGCTGGACTGACTGTTGCGCTGATGGAAGAAGTAGTACTGGGGACCGTACTACTGAAAGTGGAGCCCACATTGGACGTTGAACTCGAGGACAATGACGGGCTGTTAGCCGAGGTGCTTGAAGGTGACCCTGCTGCGCTGCTTGTCGCCGGGAGTAGTGTGGCGGCGTTGGCGGTTGGACTATCAGATGCAAAGCTGCTGAGCGAGCTACTACTCGACGCAGTACCGCTGGAAGTGAAGCTTGAGCTGACTGCAGAGCTAGAAGATGGAGAAAAACTGCTACTGTAACTGCTCGAAGAGGGCCCTGTTGTACTACCGCTTGTGGGAAGTAGCGTGGCGGCGTTCGTCGTTTGGCTGGCTGACGATGATGTGCTTGAGGTGATTGACGAGGAGCTACTGGGCGGCGTTGAAATACTGCTGGACGTAGATGCAGATGAAGCAGGACTAGAAGAGATGCCTACTGATGACGAAGTGCTTTGAGAGCTGCTCGTCGAAGCGCTAGAAACCGTAGGTACCAATGTGGCAGGGTTGACAGACACGCTGAAAGAAGTAGAGCCAGTAGATGATGGGATGGGTGACGATAAGTCAGTTGACGAGAAGCTGCCGAAAAGGCCGCTTGAAGACAACGTCGGTTGGGAAACAGGGCTACTGATCGACGATGTGGAAGAAGCCAATATCGAGCTAGAGGAACTTGAGCTCAGGCCCGCTGAGGTGCTGCTTGATGTCGAAAGCAACGTAGCAGCATTCGAGGTCGGGGCTGTGGAGGAAGAATCGCTTAACAAGAGGCCGGATGCAATCTGCATCGATGATATGTTCGCGGTCGCCGATAAGCCCTGACTTGTGCTGAAGAGACTTGAGGGAGAAGTCGACGACGAAGTCACATCTAAAGTGCTTGAGCTTAAAGTTGACGTTGAAGAACCACTTGAGGTAGTCGGTAGCAGGCTAGCCTGGTCAGCCGTAATGCTTGAAGACGTGGGCGTCGGCGAGAGAGTCGTTATAGTTGATGAGCTTGAAGTTTGACTCGCGCTGGAAGAATCCGAAGAAGCGAATGCGGTCGAGCTGTTAGTTGATCCTGAAGTCGATGCCGAAGAAGCACTAGTGGTGGCCGACAGTAAGGTGGCCTGATTGACTGTGGTACTTGACGACGCGGAGCTGCCCGTAGAAGTCGAGGATGTGCTTGCGACGCTCGCGGTCGCGAAAGTGTTGGAAGAATCGACGGAGCTTGAACTAGACAATTCAGTTGTGCTTGTTGTTGATGACGACGATGGAGTCAATGATGTCGACAACAAAGACGCGGGATCGACACTCAGGCCCGACGTGGATGAAATAACAGTAGAAGAGGCACTTGGAAGGTCACTCGAACTGCTCTGGAAGAGTTGGCTGGAGCCACTACTTGAGGTCGACGAAGATATTACTGTCGATTCAGACGAGGACAGTAACATTGAGCCTGATGAGAGGGGCTCTGAGCTAGATGAGGCCCTCGTTGAGGACACATTTGTGGTCGGGAGTAAGGTATCATCTTCCGCTGTGTTGGCTGTACTTGACGATATGATACTGGAGATGCTGGAAGATGGTCCTGAGGGGCTACTTGAGCTGATACTTGAAGGTGTGCTTGAAACTGATATGGAAGACACACTATTAGTCGACTCAGAAGTGCTAGCAGAAGTCGACGATGGCTGAGAAGTGGAGGACGACGGGGGTAAGTCTAAACTAGAAGGCGAGCTTGTCGAAGCGGCACTCGTGCTTGACAGCAAGGTATTCGGCTCGACAGTATCAGTCGTACTTGTAGAAGTGGTGCTGGTGCCAGTAAACGAAGTACTTAGGGATGGCTCGAAGGTCGAAGAGCTTGAGAATATTGAGCTCGACAACCCCGGCGAGAGGTCAGTAGATGTTGACGTGGAAGTCAAGGGTGCCGCATTTGGAGTTGTCTCAACGTAGACTGTTCCTGGCTGTTCATCTTGCGGTTGCACGATGCTGACAATAGTTGCACCGCCGCTCAGAGTATTGGTCCCACTGTATGGGCGAGTTACAGTAACAAATTGTGCTCGTCTTCCGACGACTATAGTGCCAGCTTGAGTACCGCTCGGTCCGATTGAAGCAATGATAGTTGAGTCTGGCGAGTCTGAAGCTGTGAGGAATATGGTCGTGTAAACATATGTTACAGATGGAGTAGTAGCAGGCTCAGAGGCGAAGCTGGATGAAAGCACAGAGGAAGCTAATGACGATGAGGAGAAGGTCGAAGTGCTCATCGACGAAGACTCTGATGTAGGCAGCGACGTATCTTGACCGGCTGTTGAACTCAAAGACGTAGATGAAGTAATTGAAATAGACGTTGAGTCAGATGAGCTTGAAGAAGTCGCATCCGGCGCGATCGAAGACGAAGACGGGGAGTTTGGATCTATGGACGTGCTGATCGATGATGGCTCCGAAGTAGGCAGTAGCGTTGCTTGATCGACCGTTGGGCTTGAAGATGCTGAAGAGGTAGACGAGCTGACTGACAAATCAGATGAGGTCGAAGGAACGACTTCTGGCGCAGTCGGAGAGGTCGACGACGACGACAAAGATATTGACGAAGAGGTGCTTGTAGTGCTCGCTGACGATGACTGTGACAGAGAAGTTGGGGATTCTGCAGTGGTTGTCGCACTGGATGACGTAGTGGTGAAAGAAGCAGAATATGGGAGTAAATTGAAGCTTGAAAATGTGATTGTGATCCCGGTGGTTGAGCTGACGGAGGATGTCCATAAGCTCGAGGAAGATGATTCCGAACTTGAAACCAAACTCGCTGGATCAACTGATGGGGGGCTCGAAGATAGAGACAGCCCGGTCGAGGTTGATGATGAGGAAAGTGATAAGCTAGACAAGGCCTCGACTGAGCTTTCGAAACTGGGTTCGGGTGAAGAGCTTCGATCCGAAATTGACGAGGAAAGGGAAGACGTCAAACCAGTAGTCGGTGATTCGGTGGACGTCGTGACAAGACTAGCGGGTCCAATCGTTGGAGATAAGTATGGAGACGTAAACGTGGTAACGGACGAGGATGTAGATGTTACGGATGCGGCTTCATCTGAGCTTGATTGGGTAGTTGGAGAAGTTAATATGACAGTAGAAGTGCTGGTTGATGAGGATACGGAAGATTCGTTGGAACTAGCGATAGAGCTCGATGGCGATAGGGAACCACTCTCTGAAGAGCTTGAAGTTGTCGAACTTAAAAGTAGAGTTGCGGGATCGACCGTGAAAGAAAAAGACTCAGAGCTACTCGTGGATATGCTAGCAGAGGAAAGTGTTGGTGTGGTTGCAATTTCTTCAGAGCCTGCTTGCGAGCTCACTGAAGTTGATTCAGTGACCGAAATACTAATTGTAACTGAAGAAGGAGATTCCGTGGAGCTAATAGTAGACGTAGCCGTAGAACTTGAAGACGACAGCAAGACACTCTCAGAGGTGCTTAATGCACTTTCAGTCAAAGTGCTCTGCGAAGTTGGCAGTAGGCTATCCGGGTTGATTGTAAGGCTGGACGAAGCGGCTATAGTGCTGGAAACATCTGAAGAGGAGGAGGCAACATTTGATGTTGAGCTGACGGAAGTCGCAGTAATGGTACTGGATTTGGTGGGAGAACCAGAAGAAGTGTCCAAAATGTCCAAAGCTGTAGATGAATTTACTTTCGCAGACGACTGTGGAATTAACGAGGACGATTCAAGTATATCCGTGGAACTCGAGCCTTGCTCTGTAGATGGGCTTGATGATGTAGACAGCAGACTGTTCGGATCAACCGTCACACTCAAAGACGAAAAGTCAGTCAAAGAGCTCTCAGACGTAGTGGCTGTGATTTCCAGCGTTAGACTGATTGAAGTTGACTGCGGCAAGGTCGATGTTGGGGTTGGTGTCAATGAATCTGCTCCGTTGGCGGTCGAGGAACTGATATCCTCACTTGTTGGGAGGGTAGTTGAGGAAGCTAGCGTATCAAGATTGACGGTAACACTTGAATTCGAAGTGATGAAATCAGAGCTCTCACTACTCAGGGTACTTGAAGAGTCCGCAGCTGACGAGGACGCGGTGCTGGTGATGGACGATAACGGATCAGACGTAGCAGTTGAGCTTGATGCAGATGAAACCCCTGATGAGCTGGTCAATTCCAATGTTGAGGAACTTGTCTCTGTGGCCGTAATTGCAGATACGATAGACGTAGACAGTAAGGTGTTGATCTCTGCTGTATTCTGAGTGCTTAAGGATGAGGATAAATCTTGAGAAGAAATCGATATAAATGATGGGCTCGGGCCTGAAGCTGAGATGCTCGTTGAAGTAAAAGTTTCACTAGAGGAAGGATTGGCTGAGCTTGAAATTAGGGTGTCAGGCTCAAGCGTCGTTGCTGTACTTGAGATTAATGACGAAACTGCCGCCGAGGAGCTGGTCAAGGTTTCATTTGCCGAATCGCTTGTCGATATGATAGTGGTAGCTGGACTAGGAGTAGACGTAGCCGATGGCGATTGTGAATTACTGCTCGTTGTAGACTCTGAGTCCAATGAGGATGTTGGACTGAGAAGAGCAGAGTCGCTTTCTGAGATGACCGATGTGCTGCTTTCCACGCCAGGTAAAGTACTGCCAGATGTACTGGTAGGCGACGAGGTATCGAGACCAATAGTTTCCGAGGAGCTTGAAGACAACAGAGATGATGAAGGGATTGATGTTGGGGTGAATTCAGTGATCAAAGTGCTTGACTCTTCGCCCGATGATGCACTGGCAGATGATGTCTCTTGACCATCTAAGCTAGTTGTGAACGAAGTTGAAGAAGCTACGGGGCCTGTGAAATCACTTGATGATAATGATGATGTTGATGTTGATGAAGAAATCTCAGAAGATAAGCCGCTTGTCATTGCTGGCTCATCTGTCGTCGACACAGGGGTAGAACTTAGTAGTAGTGTGTCAGGGTTTACTGTGAATGTGTCACTCGAAGAAGTCGACGATCCGGTAAAACTCTCCAACAAGGAAGACACAGTAGACAGGAGTGAGCTACTGGACGATGTAGAAGGGACCCCTACGCCGGAAGAAGTTGACGAAGTCGAGGTGGCTGAAGGATCGAACGCGTCAAGGGAGTCTGTAGATGTTGAGGTAGCAGAAGATGGCTCTGATGTTGCTGAGGTTGATGGAGGATTAGCATAGACAACGGTACCAAGGACTGTTCCGCTGCCCGGGTATGTGGCGATGGGGATAGGTTCCGTGATGATTGAAGTGCCCGAGTACGCAACTCTAACCACTGCGTAGCGAGCGGCGAAGATGACGGTGCCTTTAGCCGTTCCGGAAGGCGCAACTGTACTAATGGCAGACGGAATGATGTAGGAGTCGCCTTCGGTGTAGATCAAAGTCGAAGTGACATAGAAAGATGCTGGAATAGCCAAGATAACGGTGCCTGGAGATCCGTTCGTTGGCTGGATAGTGCTCAATGGGAGAGGCTCAGATAGTGAAGATGGGCCGGTATAAATGAGTTGCGAGGTGACGTAAGAAGCAGCATCCGCTGATGTTGACGTGGTCGAGAATTGGGAAGTCTCGGAAGGAATTGAAGTAGCTGGTGTGATATCGCTGCTTGTAGAATCCGAAGAAAAGGAGGCAATCGTACCAGTGCCTATCGACAGGAGAGAAGAGGAACCATCTATTAGCGAGCTCTCTGATGTATTTGGAGTGTCACTAGTGGAGGTGGTAATCTCAAGAGAAATACTGGCTGTCTCCGAAACAAGACTGGAAGAAGCTGCCGAAGAAATCTCAGTGTTTGTGGTCAAACCGGTGGTTACCGTAAGTGAGGCGCTGGACGCTGAGGTAGTGACATCTGCTGTATTGGACGAGCCAGACGTGGAGCTGAGATCGATGGTAGATATCAGAGAAACAAGCGCTGTGGAAGTTGCCTCAAAGTCGCTTGTGCTGCTAGTCGTTGGGGTGCTGTTGCTGGATTCAGCTCTTGCTGTCGTGATGAGCGACTCACTAAACAGGTTCGAGACAGTGGGAGAGATCGAGAAGCTGGCTTCAGTTGAGGTCGCATCGATGGAAGTGGAGCTGCTGGCTTCTGACCCGATGGTCCTCGAAGTCACTGCGCTTGTGTCGGTACTAAGGGCCTCAAGGGAGGTACTGCTGCTCTGAAGATTGCCAATATCAGATGTCGAAGCAACGTCACTTAAGGAGTTCGAATCGGTGGTGGTAAGCAGAGAAGCGAAGGCTGTGCTTATTGCTTCGGGATTAATGGTGCTTGTGCTTTCGACTTCGCTGGACGTCGTCGCCACGCTACTTGACTCAAAAATTGTGCTTGGTTCGAGAGTTCCAGTGCTGCTGGTGCTTCCGCTCAAGCTGATGGAGTTCGACTCAGCTACGGAAGATACCGCATTTACCGAAGTTGCGGACGAAGTCGCTGATGTATCAGAGCTGATCTCACTGGTAGACGTTCCTCCATTATCAGATGGAACAGAAGACGCCGTCGACGACACTAGCAAGGTAGGAACTGCAATGACTACCAACCCAACAGCCTGTGTTCCAGAAGGCTGGATTGTGAAGAGGGTGACTGTAGACTGACCAGTACCTGATACTGTTGAAGTGAGGAACTGAGCGGCGTAAGCGATAGTTCCGCGGACGCTTCCGCTCGGAGGCACTGTGCTGATGGGGATCGGAGTAGGCAACTGATCAGTGCCTGTGAAGGGTATCTGAACGCTGTCGTAGAAGGCAGATGCTGGTGGAGCTGAGCTAGAGACCAAGGTCTGATCGGAGATGAAGGAAACCGTTGGAATGGTACCTTCGGATGAAGAGCCGCTATTCACAGACGAAGGAAACTCGATGGAAGCCGTGAAATCGACAGAAGAAGTTCCAGTGGCTGAACTGAAATCAGAAGAGGACGCAGCTGAAGACGCTACCAAGAGAGACGAAGCTGTCAAGTCGCTCGACTCAACAGTGTTGGAAGAAGACACACCAATGCTTGTTCCAGATGATTGCGATATAGTTGCCTGGACTGCAGTGGTTCCTAAATCAGTTGATGTTGGTGTCCGGCTTGAGAAAACAAGACTATCGCTTGTGAAAGTCGAGACAACTGGATCGTCTGTCAAGCTCGAAGATGTGCCTAGAAACGCCGGAACAATGCTGACGCTAGTTGGGAGGCTGTCATCCGTTGATGTTGCGGTAAAAGTTGGCAACTCTGGGGTTGAAATAGAACCAACCGGAAAACTCGAAATGATTGTGGAAGAGCTCAGATCGCCGAACATCGAGCTGTAACTATCAGATGAAGTTGGTGGGGAAACCGCTACGAGGCTGCTTGATCCTCGCTGTGATTCGCTCAATGTGCTGGATTCAGCTAGAACAGTAGGCAAGCTTGAGGCGATAGGCTTGGAATCATCACTCGATCCCGAAGAGCTTTCAGGGGAAACAAAAGTCGAGGCAGAGCCTAGAGGAGAAATGAATGTGGAAAAAGAGCTAGTTTCCAGTGATGAAATGCTTTCAACCGAGCTCGTAGACTGCAATGTCGTGCTTAACACAACAGGGGAGGACGACTCGCTCGAAGCACTGGAAACGACAGCAGAACTGGTTCCAAATGTAGCAAAGCTAGCCGGCCTCGCCAAAACGATGGTTCCAGGGACTGTGCCGGACTGGTAGATAGTGGTCAATGGCAGAGGCGAAGTGAGGGTGCCTGTTCCAGTGTAGTCTACCTCGGACGTGACCAGAGGGTCCGGTGTTGCGTAGACAATCGTCCCCAGCACTAGTGAGTCTGAACCGCTTGGCAGCACGATGCTCACTTGCTGAGGTCCAGTAATGATCCCTGTACCAGAGTACGGCACAGCAACGGAAGCAAAGAGTCTTCTAGCCGCACCAAATATCACAGTCGGTGCGTCGCCATTGCTTGGATAAATGGTGGTGAGAGGGACCAGGCCGGTGCCCGTAAGGGATTCAGTCCCTGTGAATACAACCACAGATGTCACAAAGGTTGCCGTTGGGCTCACCAAGCTAGGTTCAGATAGTGTGGCTGAAGCAGAAAGACTACTGGAGTCTAAAATCCTGCTTAAATTGGACGAGGAGAGGGTAGAGCCAGGTGAGATTACAGAGGTTGAGGTCAAGGTCGTGTCCTGAAATGTTGAGTCGGCAGAAACGGTGTCAATCGTTGAGGTTGTCGGATCTGCTTCAGCAGAGGTGAACACGCCCGAGGATGAAGGACCAATAGTGGAAGGTGATACTGCGCTCGATGACAGGGTACTTAGAATGTTGAGAAGTGCCGAGGATGAGATCGTTGGGTCAGAAGGCGTAGAAAGTTCGGTGCTGGTGGAGCTGATCGAAGACTCAGATTGAGTTGAAAGCTCGGAGCTGGCCGATGAGCCGGCTGTAATTTCCGTCAACGTTGAGGTCTGTGACTCTACTACGCTGGAAGAAGCAGAAGAAGACAAAGCCGCCGTGTTACTTTCAATGTCTATAGCAGAGGAGGCCAAAGGACTCGAGCCGGCGGGCAAGATAATCGAGGAGGTTTCTATAGCAGCTGAAGAGATCCTCGTGTCAATAGGTGTCTCCGTGGTGGCTGAAAACGACAAGCTTGTGCTTCCAGATGAAGAGAGGGTGTCAGATATAGATGCGAAAGGAGGTACGCTTGACTGGCCCGGGGTTGTCACTGAAGTGGGTACATTGGTACTACTCGTACCACCGCCTGATAGGGAGTTTGCAAGAAAGCTTGCTGATGAGCCAGGAGAGCTTGTTGTTGTGGCAGTAGATTCAAAGAGGGATAAAGTTTCTGTTGAAAGTACAGCCGGCGCTACTGAGAGAGTGCTAGTTGTCGGGGATTCTGTGCTAAAAGTGCTTCCAAGAACAGGAACAGGTGTCGATAACACTGAAGCCCCCTGGGAGGAAGTAGTCTCGGATAATCCAAGAGATGATTCTGCAGATGTTGATATTTCAGTCGGGGAAGTTGGGCTAACCAGACTGAAATCAGCTGTGACCGGAAGTAACAAACTCAATGAGGACTGGGCGGACGTGTCTGAGATTGAGATGCCGGACAGTCCAGAAACCCCTAAGGCTGAGTCCGAACTTGAGACATCTGAGCTAGCAGGACTCAAGGTATTGGATCCTGCTCCAGTGCTTTGAGATGTGGGTGTGGGCGAAGCAAGCGGGTTTGAAAGAACGGTATCAGAAGCAGGAGATGAGGTACTCGAAGCGGAAATGGGGTCCGATGCAAGCGCGGTATCCGCGTTTGTTGTTGACGTGTTAATGGAAGGCGAAGTTGTTGATGTAGTCAACGAGGATTCCTGTAACTGAGTCGCTGTAGGTGAGGGCACATTCGAGGCCGAATCTACGATCGACGAAGTTCCGGATACTTGAGAAATGATTGCAGACAGTGCGAGAGTGTCTATGCTAGGATTAACGGACGAGGAAATATTATCGGGGCCAGAAGACAGGGATGAAGAAGTTGTTGGAATCCGATTAGACGAGTCTGTTGTAAGTCCTGCAGAAGTCTGACTCACAGACGAAGTCGCTTCCAAGGCTGGGGACGTCGAAGTTGAACTCGAAGTAAAGACAGTTCCTGGGGAGAGGAAACCTGGAGCGACGGCCACGGAAGTTGTACTTCCGGAAGGAGGAGGCTTGGAGGAGCTCTGGGAAACTGGATCCATCGAAGTAGATATGGCGGTTGACGTGGAATAAGGCAGACTTGGAGCATCTTGTTGAGATGCCGATGTCGTTGTGCTTGTCGGGCTACTAACGGCTATTTGGGGATCCACAGAGGTGTGTGTGTCAACCAAGGTTGTGCTTGACGGCGTTCCCACGCTAACAACCTCTGGGCCAGAGATCAGGACACGTGTTGTGCCCGCCGGTGATGGAATTCCGAAGACTATGGTGACAGGCTCGGTGCCAGATGGAATGATTGTGAGAAATTCAGTGGAGATGCTTCCAGGAATGTATGTTTCTACAGTTGTAAGAGGTCGAGGTCTCTGAACTATGACGGTCCCTGAAGTCGTTCTAAGCGTCAAAAACTCCCTTGGAAGTCCGGTGCCCGTGTAGTCGACGAAGACTGTAGCAACAGGAATCGTCACCGCCGAGTCTGGGACTGTGCCAAAGGGGGATTGATTGGAAAGGCGCCCAGAAGAAGCTGCATTAGTGGCGCTGGAGTCTGCTGGGGCTGCCGTGCTAGCAACAGTCGAGAAAGCTATGCTATCTATGTCGCTTTGCAAAGAGGTGCTTATTGGACCTGAGTCGGTCTGCGAGCTCCTCGTAAGGTCTTGGGGGTCTGAGACCTGGGACTGTATGGTAGAAACTGCGGAGGAACCTAATGAGCTTGACAGTTGTGCGGAAGGCGTGTTTTCTGGGCTCAATTCTGACGACGAGCTCTTGCTTGTAGTCGATGACGCTATCGCTGGTGGCCGTCCTAGCAAAACAGTACCTGGTTCACCAGCGCTCGGTAGGATCGTAGAAACAGGAGCAAGCCCTTGAGAGCCGTCTGAGGAATTACTGCCCGCATCTAAAGTAGATGTGACAAAAGAAGCCTGCAGCAAAACTGTCGTTCCAGACTGAACAAGGACAACGGTAGTTGGGCTTGGTGGGCTATTGGTCGTCAACGACGACACAGCTTCCAGCGACCTAGAGCCGGAACCTCCTGCAGAGTTGCTAATTAAGCCAGCGGCCGATGATGGTTGGAGCAGTATCACGGTCGAAAGACTGCCTAGGCCAGCAGAGAGAGTTGTCAGCGGGATTGGCGAGGTGAGCGGGTCGGTTCCGCTGTAGAAAATGTCTGAAGTAACGACAGAACCAATTACAGAGTTGGCGAGAGCAGTTGTCAATGGTGAAGAGTTAGTGGGCGTGGCTGTCGAGATGAGATTGCCTGCAGGAGTTGATGGGGTTCCAAATTCCAAGTCACTAGGTGGCCTAGATCCATTCGAAGTGGCTCCCAGTGTCTCTTTCGCGATGGAGGTCTCGGTGGCAACAGGAACGCTAATCAGTACTGTGGATGGTGAACCCGGGTCTCCTTGAAGTGTAGTCAAAGTGGTTGCTGATGAGATGCTAAGATTGCTCGCCAAAAGTACTGTCGAGGTTGCAAAAAGCGTCTGGGCTGATAGCTGGGTGGCAGGAAGCGGCGTAGCTGAGTCTCCTGGGGCAGCATTGCTTGTAGAAACCGGCTGCGGGGCTGTATCGCTACTCACTGGCTGAGATGTAGATGAGTCTATCGCATTCGGAGCAGCCACGACGACAATGCCCGGCTGAGAGTCGGAAGGTGGCATGGTCGAGAGCGTAGTCGAGGTTGACAAGAGTATTGCTCCAGTCCACGGCACAGTCGAGGTAATGTAGGCGTTGGGCAAGGCCACAACGTACGTTCCAGGTATAGAGGCCTCAACATCAGGAGTAATTGTCGAGATTGTAGTTCTTGATGTAACAGAATAGCTATCAAGACTGACAGCCGTCGAAGTAACGAATGAGGCCAGAGCCACGCTTGGATCGTTCACTTTCGACACTTGGCTTTCGCCAGGCCTTGATGACGAGGCCACCGAGGGTACTGCAAGCACGATTGTACCCCTGTTGGTTTCTGAAGGCTGGACACTGGTCAGAACAGATGTAGTCGAGCCCTCATACAAGACTGTTGAGGTGACAAAGTCGGGCTGAAGGACAACAGAAGCCCCATTTGTTACCTCGGGGGTTACTGTAGACACTAAGGTTGGTGGGTCAGCTACAATAATGAAGCCTGGTGCCAGTCCGTTCGGCGGCAAAGTCGAAAGTGTGGTTCTTGTCGTAAGTATATCTGCGCTGCTGAAGTCAATTGTAGAAGTTACGGAGTCATCAGGAACTCCATCGACGATAATTGGCTGCGAAGTGCCCTGGCCTGGTATCAGAGTTGACGTTGTTGCAGCGCCCTCTTCCTGGGTACCAGAGATTCGAACGTAGGACGTTGAGAATTGTCTTCCCAAAACCGCGGGATCCGCAACGAAGACCGTGCCGGGGCTATTTCCTGAGGGGACCACGACTGCAAGTGTTGTCCTAGATGCCAAAGGAACCGACCCTGTCCAAGAGACAGTCGAAGTCACAAATATGGCTGGTCTGCCAATGATCAAGGTTCCAGGCAGTCCATTGGCTGGCTGAACAACGGAGATGGTCGTAGGCGCTGAGCCAGCCGCTGTTCCAAGCAGCACGACCTCGGAAGTAACGAACGGACTTGCCGAATTTCCACCTCTCAATGAGGCATAAACAAAGACCGTTCCAGGTACGGTTCCCACAGGATCAACAGTTGTCGGCAAGTCCACGCCTTGAGTGAAGTCAACAGTAGAGGTGACAAAGGGCCCTCTTCTTGCCGAAGTGATAAAAGAGTCCGAGCCAGTCGCAGCTGGGGAGACGATGCGAGGCAACCCGATGATAACCGTACCATCTGTGACAGCCAAGGTCGATGGTGTGTTCGGAGCATCTGAGGCCGGAGTGTAGGTCACAATCGACGTAACAAATTGGGTCGGCGTTACTTGAGGCGCCGAGGCGGCAGACGTGGGATCTTCGACATCTGGATTGGAACCTTCGGGCTGCCCGATGATTACAACTCCCGGAGATGTGCCTGTAGGCTGGATCACCGATAGTTTCTCCTGGGTAGACCCTGTAAAAGGAACGAAGCTTGCCAGGAACGTGGCTGATGGACTTCCGATGACAACGGTACCACGTTGAGAGCCGCTTGGTGGTGCTATCGTGATAGTGATTGGGGCCGTAAGGACTTCCCTGCCCGTGAAGAGCACAGTCTGGGTGATAAAAGATGCTGGTGGCAGTCCGACTATGACGGTTCCCGGCACAGTGCCATCGAAGGGCCTGTTGAGAATCGTCGTCGATCCTGTAATTGAACTCATGCCCTCGTACGGAACTATCGACGTCACCTGAGGAGGGGGAACTCCAGTCGACGGGACTCCTATCACTACAGTTCCTCGACCACTCCCGTCCGTGGGTTGGATGACTGACACTACGGTTGGGCCTGAAATAACGGCTGTTCCAGTGTACGCAACCGTAGAAACATCGTAGGACACATCTGGTACTGCCGTCGTGGCGACAGCGACAACGTAGGTGCCAGGAATAAAGCCAGACTCTGCAATAGTTGAAATGGTCGTACGAGTTGCGTCTAGGGGATCGGACCCAGTGTAAGCGAGTGTACTCGTGTTGTATAATCTTGGATCAGGCACTGCAACGACTACAGTTCCTTGAGAAGCTGTGGAAGCTCCCGGCGTGGGGTTGGCGACGAGAATGGTTCGTGGTGCCGTGATGGGATTCGTAGTCAGAAAGCTTGTTGAGTTGACAGAGTTCGGAAGTGATCCAGGGCTGACTGTTGCCGTACCGCCTCGTGAAACTGTTGTATACGAAGGCGGATCCTCCACTACCAATGTCCCTGATCCATCGAGTCCCAGAACTGCTCTCGTAGTGGGACCGGCCAAGATGTCTGTTCCTGTGTAAACTCCATTGCTGACTGTCACGTACCCTGAATAGTTGCCACCTACAGGGTTACTCTCTAGAATCTGAGGCGTGGCGGATGTGGTGGCTGAGATCGTGGGCAGAGCCTCGCAATTTGACGTGTATGATGTAGAAACAGCAATGTAGGCGACGTAACTGACGACGTATTCTAGGGAGTAGCACACACATGCGTCGACCTGATTATTGTTGAGCGCCTCGAGGCATGACTGGGCCAGGCTGCTGCTTCCTAGGAACAGCGGCGGCAAGATGAGCCGCCATAAGCCCGAAATTTTTGACATGTTCATTCAAGGACTGGGTATTCTAGAACCCAAGGCTCGGTCCTTAATGGGCGAAAGATAGGAAAGCTCCCAAAAGTCTTCCCAAAACCACTCTTCCCAATACCAATCTTCCGCGACCTGAGTGACACGCCTCCTCCATTAAGGACAAAAAGCTAGAGGCATCAAATGGAAGCAAGAGCGATTTAATTGAGAGTGATCGTCGAAACGGCCATTCTACATGCGTTCAAATCTTTTCGGTAAAATCCAGGCGGGGATGTCTGGGCGGATCTTTGACCACCTCGACCACATCAACTAGCTTTTCCTCTATCGCCAAGTCATTGCTATCTGATTGCCCGCTTGCAGATGGGCCACAAGCAGCCGTTTCCATAGCAAAGAGGACAATGGGATTCATGTTAGCCGATTGTTGGGAGGCTCTTAAGACTGACAGGAATGGACATGCGATGTTATCTTCAAGACCCAGATCAGTCTGTCCTGCCTTGATCGCCTACTGAATGTCTTCATCGGGCAAACCGATCGAGATAGGACGCAGAGGATAGAATGCCTTGTGGCTCGGCAGCCAGCCGATACTCCATGTGAGTGCTTTGTGGGAGGAAATGAAAGGAGTAGATCTAATTCCATACGCCATACGTGGATCCATGGGTGTGTCACAAGCTACAGAGACGTCGGGTTGAGGCGGTGGTCATTGCATGGCCGGTTGCGATCGATGTACCTACTTTGAAGGGGTAGTGAGAGTAAGTTGAGAAAGTTATTCACTGTTAATGAAGGTTTGCGCGGATAACTCGGATGACTCGTACATTTGAATGTCTCAAAGACTCGTGTAACGAGCACCAGACTGTGGGGAGACGGTGGGTATTCTCGCCGAACGCCCCGGACGACGCGGACGACGCGGACGACGCGGAGCTCTCTGGCCAGGACTCTAACCCATCAGTATCATCCGGGCACGTAATAATTGACCCAGCGTAATTGTAGAAGTAGGTAAATATTTCATTCTGTGTCAAAGCTTGTAAACTCCATCTTTCACTCGGGCCATCTAAGGATTGCAGTCACACGTATTAGTTACTGGAGATACGATGTTGTGCAAGCTCCTCCGGATCGTGACCGGGCACGCGATCCAATCTCGCCGATCTGCCAAGCCGCCCGTAAAGTAAGTAATGTCTCAAGCGAGGTTATCTGTTTCCGTGCTTGAAACGTCATGAGCATGTTTAAAGTACCTAGAATGGTACGGAGTAAGCGTTCGTGGCCCCGCTGGCCGACCATTACTCTCGGCTATCTAGTTGTCTTAAAGCCACAAGCAGCCACCACCCTCAAGACAGGGGTACAAGAGACCTCACATTTGTGACTTAATCACTTCAAGATCAGATTCTACGATCCTCACTCGGGCCCTCGGGTTACCTAGAATATCTAAGCAGACTACACTGAAAGAATGGGCTTTTCCGTTGAGGCTTGATCGAGTTAATAACCAGGTTCAACGCCCTTGCGAAGGGCCCCTCTTCGATCAACATCAGGCTAGATTCCAACAATGATCTCGTCCATCTGAGTAAGAGAATTACATGAAGGCAAATCATATTAGTCCTCGTCACCCTTCGGACATCTGATTTATAAAGTGCTTAATAAGATTTTCGTCCGGTCAAAAGGGACGCAAGCTCTGTTTGCGAGGTGGTAATGCCGCCAACCCCGCGAAGGTCTAATACCGATCTAAACCAGAATCAATCCACATACCAGTCTTGGTCGTCCGGGTAAGACTCGCACCTTATACCACCGCCAAAGTACGCCACCTGGCGCACATACTGCATGAAGCGCTCGATGGCGGCCTCGTAAGTGGCAGAGGCTTTCGTAGACAACACCTCGAAATACAAGGCTTCTTTCAGGGCTGCACTGGACTCTTCCACATTTTTCTTCGCCGTTTGCTTCACTAGCTCAGCAATGACAACAGCATCTTCCCAGATATTCTCAACGGCATCTCCGCCTGTCCGCTGTCTCGACTCAACCACAACCCTTCGGTTCAACTCTTCGACACAGTTGTTGGCTGCTTCAGCAATGATGCTGGCACCGCCGCTGAGAGGCATTATCTTAACAGGTAACTCGCTTGTAGTCTGCAAAGGCTCCTGATTCAGACTCAGAATGTCGAGAGCGCTCACTTCTGACGGTTGCGACGCAATGGAAACGAGTAGACCTGGCCCGCTGATGTTGGCGTTTTGGTATATCAGCGCCGCAGACCTGCTCTCAAGGAGTTGGAGAAGATTTGGCCTCTGACTTGATTCGGAGCGTGATTCTGCATGTGCAGATCCGGATTTCCGGGTCTCATTTTCGCCCTTGTGAATTCTGACAGCAAACCAGCTATCTTCATCTGCTTGTAGCTTTGCCAAAAATACAGAAGGGGGTGTGGCTTCATCTTCCGAGTGGATATCCTTTCGGTCATTCATTGATACCATTGGCAATAACTTGCCAAATGAACCAGCAGTGGCAGCCAAACTCGTGAGTCGCGCCCCAGGAAGCCTCACGTGTAGACCTTTGTCGGAAATCTTCGCTGGATACGCACTGGAATGAGAAATATAGAGATTGCCGTATTTCGCGTACTGGACAAGAGTTGTGGGTGCCCACCGATATCCTGGGACTTGAACACGTGGGACAGAGGAGAAAATAAGGTCAGATGGCAGACTCCCACCGAGGCCCTGGAGCCTCCTCCACAACTCACACATGCCCTCCTCGGGAGTCTCTCCGTGACCAATGAGAGGTATGACTCCCCGTGTGCTGTTGATACGCAGATTCAGCAGCGTAGCCAAGCAAATCACCTCGTCGGACGCAACCGTGACGTTGCGGTATTTCAAAGCGGCAGTGAGCATGCTCAAGAAGAAGTCAAATCCCTTCAGACTGTGCTTCACTGGCTTGTCGCCATCACCATCTCCTAGCTGCCACATGTGAGTGCTGAGGTCGCGGAATTCTGCCATGAAGCGGTATGCCAACAAGGCCTCTTGTCGGGGGGCTTGCTTCAGAAGGTTGATGATTGACTCGAGCGAGAGGATGCCATCGGCGAATGACAGACAAAGCCGGTCGCCGATCCCTCGAGCTCTGGAAGCACCAGCTAGGACTGCCTCTTGTAATGTCCACATCCTGCGCATGTAAGGAGATAGGTACAGCTGTGCTGCAACATCCATCACCCCTTTGGAGGGATCCCGTACAATGTCGCCTATTTCCAAAGCTTCAAGCACTGCGCTTCTCACCATGACAACATTGGCGTTCGAGTAAATTTCCCGCATCATGGAGAGGCAAAGATTCTTTCCATATCCAGGAGTCGCAGGACAACACATGGTGTCGATCCAGATATTAAGCTGGCGTATTTTGGGTTTCGTTTGGATCATAATCCCCGTGCCGTCCTTTGATTCGTCTGCTTCTGTCTCTTCCACGACTTGGTATGCCATCATTGCCCAGTGTTGTACGTATGCCAGCTGACAAAAGGGTAGGGCATTCGCCGCCGGATTGCCCATACCCTCTGACCATACGTGTGAGAGAGCGACGTAGTGATTATTGGGGTCTTTCTGCGACTCTTCGTCGATGCTGCAGGAACTGAGAGCGATGCCCAAACTGCCATCTTCAAGCCTTCCGATAGAAAAACAAGGGACATCGCCCTTTTGGTAGATGTCTATAAGGTTTTCCTCATCAAATGAAATCATTCCCGGGCAGTTGCAACCCTCGCTCATGTGTTTAGGCTCTGCCGGTATTCTGAGACTGCAGCCATATTCGGGACAGTCTTTGTGTAAGTCTGCCACGGTGGAATCCGCCTTGAACTTGCTAAAGTAATAGAACGCGGCGATGGTGTTGAAGCTCTCGCCGATCTTAGTGATATCACCAGGGCACCAGCCGGCCTTAATCATTGCGAGCTTATTATTTCCCGAGGACAGATCAAGCAAGGAGGCGACCTTGGAGAACCATGGGCGCTTGGCTGACTCTGGGAAGTGCTGTACACCTCGGTCCATTTCTGTATGGAGAGGCAGCATTAGCATAGGCTCCAGGGCCTGGAACTTGCTAGCTGTTATCCGAGGGTGCGTAACTTACCGGCGACTGGTCCGTGAATGAGGGCCGTCTGAACCGCAGAGTCTAATGTCTCGGCCAAGCTGGCCAGGCATAGAATTTCTTCGGCAAAGGCCGCCGAGAAACCCGGGAATCTGAACTCGATCTCATCAAAGGCCTCGAATGCTTGATCCAAGCATCTTTTTAGGTGCTCTTCATATGCATCACCGCTTCGGATGGATGCCAGCGGCCCGCTTGCGCGTAACGATGCCAGGTCCTCGTGCAAAGTCTTTGTAGATAGGCTGATAGTCTTGAGCCTTTGTTGATCGTCGTATGTCCAAGACGTATATTTTTGCCATTTATACAGATCTCCCAGAAACTCCTGGAGCAAGGAGCAGAACAACCAACCTTGGTAATAGTCAATAACTTGCATATGCGATATTCCGGCTGTGAACCGCCCTTGAAGGGCATCGGCTTGAGTGGGAACATGTGGATACTGTGCGTTGAGAACCTCGCCATGCTGTGTCGGGTAGTCGGAAAAAGGCCCAGGTTCATGGAACTGTTTGGTGCCCAATGCTATTGTCGGATGTTCACTAATTGGGTCGCGGGGTATCGGAAGATGCTCCATGATGCGGCACAAAGTAGATGTTAAAGTGTCTCAATGAATACAGTCTCCACAGGGAATTGATAGGGAAACCAGCTGACGCGGGTCGTGTTGGCCTTATTATTATCGTTATTGTTTTTTGATCGTCGAGGCAGTCAATTGTCTGAGAGTCGTGAGAGGAAACTCAAGTTAGCCAAAGACTGGAGAATTCCCACAGGAAGCCAGATGTAAGCCAATAAGCTTCGTCTTCTATGACGGTTCGTGGTGAATTTACATGTGAGGGGGGCTTCCAGGCAGCTATATCGCTTATTGCTGACACCGGTGCTAGCGCTGACGTAGCCAGAGCACAGGGCGATCAAAGTAGAGAAAACATTGTGAGACCCAAGGGACTCTTGCGATAGTAAAGTATGACATTATGACTATTTGGATAATTCCAGCCTCTTCAATTTGGCTTACTCAAGGTGAGGCAAGCGTGAAAGTACACTTAAGTCCGGAGTGGTCGCTCCATGGAACAGAGCCATCTTCGCCAGGTAGAAGTACCTGCATCGGGTGCAAAACTTCAATATGCAGTGGTCTGAGCCCCACCATTGCAACCTTGTCCATCCGGTTCGCGGGGAATCTTTCGGTACCATTAACTCCCCACGTGTATCCAGTCTCCTCGCCTTTCAACTCCTTCCACGCGTCGAGGAGGTCATTGTCTTCCACCAGGCTTGCATCGATATGTGGAGTCACAGGATTGAAGTCTCCCGCTACCAGCCCATGGCCAACGTCGTGTAGAAGTGATCCAACACACTGCAGTTGCGCTGGGCGACATGCCGCCCCGTTTGATAGGGAGTCCAAATGCACGTTGACAAGTTGGAGCCGCTTGTACGCAGCCATCTGAGCCCCCGGCTGCCGCGATGGTACAAACACCTCACTGCACAGTGCGTCCCGTCTGTAGAAAGATCGATACTTGATTCGCGAGACCCGTCCTAGACCCGCCAGAGCTGCCTTGCCGATGTGACCAAATTTGGCCTTGGATAGGAGAGTCATTGTAGCGAAAGCGGTGAGAGGAGCGCCTATCCAGTTTCGTGAGTCTTTTTCGCTGGAATACCAATTGTCGCGAACTATGCTGTTGTTCAGCAACGCACTAAGCATCGTTGTCGACACTTCTTGGAAGAAGATTATATCGGGTGAGGGCGAGTGGTTCAGAAGATGGTCGAGAATTGCGGTGATGCGGCGGGCAGGCTCTTGATCAAATGCCTCCACGTTCCACGTGGCGAGAACAAAATGAGGGCTTATTTCGGTAGTATCTTGAGGTGCGGATGGGGGAGGATTATTGACGTCGTGGGTTTCGACTATCTCCCAAGTGTTGATCGTTGGTTCGAATTGATGCCATGACTGCGCGATCGGGGCCACTCCCTCGGCCTCTTGCTGCGTAGAGGACCACGACATAATGCGTTGATGCCTTGAATCTCTAATTAGCCGTGCGAACTCAATGTGGTTGACTGAAAATAAGGTGAGACTTGTGAGAGAAGTTGGGTAACATGTGTTGCAGTGGTTGGGGATGAGGAGTTATTCAGCGAGAGCTGATGTGGCTGCAATCCAGGCACCAAGATTCTTGAAGAGGTTAAGTCACGTGCAAGGGATCTGTAAAGGTAAAGTATGTTTCTCAAGGTAAAGTTTCGACATACTTTACAAAAGTGGACGCTTCCCTGCATTGGATGAAGAAGGAACTTGATTTTGGGCGCCGTTTGAGGTTATTTCCATGGCGGCGTGAATGTGCCTTAGGGCATTTTCTGAAATAATTAATCCACACCAACGTCCATTGACGAGTTAAGGTTGTTGGCCGTTGCAGATGGAAAAGAAGCAATGTCACAGAGGTAATGAATAATCAGAGTCAATACGTTATTAATTGACTATGACTTCCTATGAACATTGAAAAGAGGCGTTCAAGGTACATCCTCTTGTTGTATGTTACATCAGAGGTTGCAAAACAAAACAGGTTGATTTTGGAGCAACCAGATGCTGATACAGAAGACTGGTTTCATCCCGCCAATTCCTACATATCTCCCGTATCTGAATACTTGTTTGGGCGATAACGACCCTACCACTGGGTCTTCAAAGGCTGAAACCCGCAGCGTGAGTGTGATCGGATTGACACGAATGGCGGCATGCATGATTTTAGGCGCTTTGGCGTCGAAGACCTGGTGTAATTCGCCACGATGTTTACGGTCGCCCTATTGTGATTGGACAGAACAACAGAAGAAACGCAAGCGAACCTCGATCAGGAACGAGCGTCAAAGATAAGGTCACCAGATGACTTATGGCGCATAGATATTGTGGTGTTTATATATAGGACTTTCGATCAGCTTACAGTGACCTGTAGGCAACGAGCCGCGGCGCAGAAGCTTTGTATGAAAAACAATTCCTCCCCCAAGACCTTGAAGTCTATATTCTTGATCATCTTGATGCCTTTAGCAGCATGCGCTCAGAAATTAACTCCAGTGTGGCTCAAAGATCCAATGTCCAAGTCTTGCACATGGGTCTTCCTCGGACGGGGAGCTTTTCCATGAAGGCCGCATATGAAGAGCTTGGATTGCCAACATACCACGGATTCGTTTATATCGAAAGACCGCAAGACCATCTTCGCTGGTTCGATGCAGTGCAGGCCAAGTACTACGGAAAGGGTAAGCCCTTTACGACAGAAGACTTCGATGATTTAGTTGGAGAATGGGCTGTTGTCTCAGATAACCCGGCGATCGGGTTCGCAGAGGAGCTTCTCCAGACTTATCCTGAGGTGAGCCCACCGTACCACACAACCCAAAGGATCGACTGGCTAATCAGGCTATCAAGGCGAAAGTTGTACTTGTCTGCCGAGATCTGGATAAATGGTACAAATCATATGACGAAGGTGTCATCAGGTCTTTCTTCACCTGGAAGATGTGGGCTGTACTTAATCTGATCGAACCTCTCCAAACGCTGAAGCCCGTTACTGTTACAAGGGATCTGCAATACGCAATATTTCGCTGCAGCAATCAAACACAATGTCAAAGAAACGCCAAGTTGATATGCCAGGAGTATTCTGAGAAAATCCGGGAGCTTGTTCCTAGAGAACGCCTGTTGGAGTACAAGCTTGGCTCGGGATGGGAGCCACTGTGCAAGTTCCTCGACAAGGAAATCCCACACAAGCCTTTCCCACATCTTAATGATGGCAAAGAATTCGAGCTATGGATGCGGGATTTCCAACAGAGGGAGGTGAAGAGAGGGCTGATGGCTGCGGTGAGGACCATGAGGTATCTGATTGTACCGGTAGCAGTGTCTGGTATCGTGCTGGCTTTCACGAGAATCTGGAGGTTCTGGACATGATATCCAGTAGGACCGTACGTCAGGAATATCTTGGGTACCGAAGATCGTCTTGAAGCCAGGCCGCATCGCCGATATTTGGATAAAAGTCGAGGCCCGGCGCATGACGCCCATGGCGCCGGCTCAGACTTCTCACGATCAATGGGGCCCACGGGGTGCTGCTAGCTTCTCCGAATCACATAAACATTTACAAATCCACTCCTCACCGTGTTGATTGCGCCACGTTTCCAAGGTCTCAGCGCCAGTGCTCGGCCCGTGAATGGCAGATCTTCTACTCAAAAAGGTGAGACTGTGTCTCACTCTATCCTAAGTGACTTAGACAGGTCATCTCCCTGACGGAAGCGACGTAGGACAGGCATGGTAAAATGAATAGGATCTGGGCGGACGACTGCAGTGCGTCTACACCTTGATTCAAGATGTATAGGCCGGAAATTGACCGTCGAATTCTCCTCTGGTCATGGAATGCCGCCAAGGCGGTCGAATCGCAACTCATCACAGACGATAGAGCGCCCGTGTATCCATAGCTCTAGAAGCCCGTGAGGTGCATTGAAATTTGCCTCCGCTTCCTTCGCTGCTTGGCTTCGCCACAAGGACTGATTGTGTGCCCGACTCTGAAGGGAATCTTAATGGGCTAAACAATATTAACCCACAAGACTAGTAAGGTGTAATTCTTGGCTACTCGTCCGCTGTCAATTCTCTCAGCACTAAGCTTGGCCAAGACCTGATCAGGACCAGGTTAATGGAAAAAAGCGCTTGGCAAGCACCGCACAATCGTAACATTACTCAGCCGGCGACGGGAATTCGGCCGCATCACTAACGGTGTTTGTCTACACTTACAACACTTATATGTAGTGAGCATGGTAGTGAGTACTAGTGAACACAACACCATGTGATAGTAAGATACACAAAGCCTATTAATGAGGAATGTGCCAGTATAGAAACCGACCGAGAATTCAAGTGCAAGCATTAAATACGTATAAATTCTTGTCACCGAAACCGATTTTCAATAGCAAGGAACCAACCATATCACGATTCTTCTATCTTATCTGCATCAATTCCCTGAACTGCTATTGTCGCAACTGCTCACTTCAGCAACGTCAAAATGTCGGGACTTCAGTACTTCTCGTATAAAGGTTATGGCGAAAAATTGTTGCAGGAGATGCATTACAGTCAAGCAGTCAGGGTGGGGGATAACATTGAAATATCTGGCCAAGGTAATTAACTGCAAGCAGGGTGTGTATGATGTGCGAAACTATTGCTCACTGAACCAATTTCAAGGGGGTTGGGACTCAAAGACTGGAGAGATTCCCAGCAATCTCATGCAGGAGATCGACCAAGCATTTGAAAACGTCGACATTGCCCTGAAGGAAGCTGGCGGCCAAGGATGGTCACAAGTCTTCCGCATCCGGTTGTATGCACTTGACGAGGCCTGGACTGAAGATGGCCTTGGCCGAATGGTAGAGAACATGAAGAAGTGGACTCCCAACCATGCGCCAATTCTAACAGGTATTGGGGCCTCAAAGCTTGGGCAACCCGGTATGCGGCTCGAAGTTGAGGTCTCGGCCTACGACCCCAAAGGTCCTAGATAGACTCCAAGACTGGCCAATTGCCGCCTTTGGTATATGAACAAGCAAGAATATATCAATATCATTTCTGATGACCTCTGACTCATTTGTAGATGAATTTAAATGATGTTCCTACTCTCGTGGAATCCAGGTCAGTGGTACAGTACAATTGGACGACGCAGTTGCAAACAGTTGTTCAATGATGATGCTGTCATATCTTCCTCAAATCCCAGAACTCTGAGTTACACACCTCGCAGCTATGTAATGGGTATCACGAATTTTGTTGAAGTACTTGACGACTACACAGTTGTCGCAAAAGCCCGTCAGCTTGAGGCCCTGGGTGCCACCTCTTTCTCTGCCAGTACCAAATTCCAACACCAGCAATAGCAATCGCTGACGAAGTGAGAATTCGCATCGTCTTCTTGATTGCGGGAGAGACCACCATCTCTGCGGCAACATGAAAGTCGGACATGGCGTTGATGCGCGGGTAAGGGTCCTTGGGAACGTCTTTCCCTAAGAACGTGCAGAGCTCTTCCCAGCCAAATCCCTTTTCAAGGTTCAAGATCAGAAGCTTGTCAGCAGGCACAAGAGCTTTCACACTCTCTAAACTATTGCAATCGTCAACATCTGATCATAGCGATTTTGAAGCGCAAGACGTCAACTCACTAATCAACATAGCTCTTGGAAAGTGCTTCATTGAACCCAGGGTCACTGGGCTCCAGGCCGCCAGACCATCTGTATGTCATGGCTCTGAATAGTGCAGTAAGCTCCCAGATAAAGCTGTCAAAGTATCTGGCGATTGACAAAGGCGGCTTCGCTAGCTTTGCATGATAGGCTCCGAGGGATCCCGCAATTGACTTGGCCCATGACTCCGGGGTACGCTCCGTCAAGATGAACTTGACATCCGGGTCTTCCAGGTACTCTTTGATGATGTTTGGACAAAGATAGCAAGGACTTTCGACGATGCACTAAAGGTTTATGGTATTAGATGAGCTCCTCTAACCAGCTCTTACAGCCGGGACACCTGAACTTACATCATAACCGGCGAAGAGTTTGTCAAACTCGGCTCGTTGAAATGGCTTGTCGCTGTCGTTGGCAATGATAGCCTCCTGGAGTGCTCTTATCTGCTGAAAGCCATAGGGTAGGAGCTCTGAGATGTGGAAGGGGGTATACCCCAAAGTCTTCAGTGCTTGCCATAAACCAAGAGTTCCAGTACTGGTAAACAGATGAGTGAAGTGTCTTCAAACCTTGATATTGCGCTTTCGCTATAATTCTTACCGGCTAGGACCAAGTCCAATAATTTTCATCGAGCGGCTTCCTGTGGGAGCGGGAAGTTTATCGATAGCTCGGGACATTTTGACAGATCTGTGAAGGATGCAGTAAAGCTTGTTGGCACATTGGTGTAAGCAGCGCGGTGTCGCTGACCCTTTTACTCGTAACCTCCAAATATCTCTCCGCTGGCAGACTCCATTGCAACTGCCGGGTTGCCTACCCCAACTGCCCCCGGCTCGTTATCAACTCCATCAACACGCCACTGACTCGTGATGCTCGCCGACTCATGCGTGTGGGTTCCCAATGCCCGGGGTAATAATTGAGTTTGTAACGTCGTATCTCGACCCGCATGGGGCTTTTCAATCAGCGCTCTGCAAAGATAATGTCAAGATAGCTATCTGGAATTACCCTTGCCATGGGTCGATTACGGATGATCTTATCCTTCAGGCGTGTGTTGTGCTGTTGGTATTGACAAATCGACACGGATGGACGAATCAGGAGCTTTAGAGTTTGAGGCATATCGATAGATTCATAATACCTGCTAGATGCAATAACTATGTGTCTCTGTTTCGTGCTGCAATGCCAACTGAATCCGCTAGGTGTTCGTCCAATCACCAAATCCAACAGATCATCACTATAGCATTGTTCAACTACACCGCCCCGTGAACGCGATGCACCTTTCAACACCAGACGAAATGGCCATGGCTATGGCCACGACCACGAAAACTCGTCGACCGCTCAAATTCTTGTTGCATTGTTTCTCCGCCACCGGCCATGTTTTGCCAATGCAGGCCGTCGCCAAGGAGCTGGTTGAACGTGGCCATGAAGTCGTTTGGACTACCATAGCACCCCAGGAGCAACGAGTCCTTGCATCGGGGGCAAGATTCATTACCGCGGAGGAAGTAGTGAAAGTAGATGCCAACCTAGAGGGCGCCAATCCGAAAGACATGGCCGAGACGGCAGAAGTCATGTTCCGAGGGCGCGTTACGGCACAAGTCGCTGATATCCGTCGTGTCCTCAAGACGTTCAAGCCGGACTTTGTTCTCACTGACGCTCTGCCTCAGGGTGTCGCAGCGCTCTACGAGCTGGGCGAGATTCCTCATTACGCAACTCTGGGGGTTGTCCCGTTGTATCTGCCCGACATAGGGCCCGAGCCCATCGAGCATGCTGCTCAATCTGCTCTAGGAATGCTCATCAGTCAACCACAACTAGTCCTGCCCTCGATCAACCCAGAGAGAGAGGAGCTCGGGCTGCCCGCCCTCAAAGTCACAGACACGTACTCTTACAGTCCTTTCCTGCACATCCAGGCTTCGTGTCCTTCCCTGGAATTCCAGAAGGGCCCCGAGCCTATTCTTCCTCAGGCGCAGTATGTCGGACCTCTGGTTACACGTCTTGGAGGTGCAAGTGTTGGTGTGCCAACGTGGTGGCAAGATGTCCTCGACGCCAAATCCATTATTGGAATCACACAGGGCACGTTTGCCATGGACCCGACGTCACTTATCATTCCCGCCATCAAAGCGCTTCAGGACGACAAGAGTCACTTGCTGGTTGTGCCATCAAAACTCGCCGACGAGATCCGCGATAAGGTCAAGATCGAGGATAACGTCCGTATCGCGGATTGGGTTCCCTATGACCTCCTCCTTCCACGCTGCCGTCTGCTCGTGACGAATGGTGGATACGGCAGTGTTACGCAAGCTCTTTCACACGGCGTTCCTCTCGTCTGCGCCGGAACTTCGGAGGACAAGAAGGACACAGCTGCGCGAGTGACTTGGGTTGGTGCGGGTATTGATTTGAAGACCGATACTCCCTCAGTAGACCAGGTTCGCGATGCAGTGCACAAGGTGCTCAATGAGACAAGTTACAAGAAGAATGCGACGAGAATTAGAGAGGAGCTCAATGCACAGGGTGGTGCCAAAAGAGCGTGCGATTTGTTGGAAGAGGCGGCGGTAGAGCTAAGCGCCCCGACGGGGGAAACATAGATAGAAAACCCACGAAGAATAGAATAATGTCGTAGATTCCCTACAAGAATTGATAGAGTTTGAACTCTGCAAGCTGTGACATGATGACAGCAAACTTTGTTCTCGTAGAGTCCCATTCTGTTTGCGTCACGTGTGGTAATTTACGAACTCAGTCAATTTTCTGCCTGTCAGCGTTTTGCCAAGAAGTGATACAACGTTGTACGCTGACATCGTGCAGATAACGCGGAGTTTAAAAAACCAAATTTAACACCACTTTTAAACACGGACCAAACGTTCGTCCCGACGGGAAGCTCGGACTTTACGACATGCAAATTCATGCTAACAAGTGATTTAGAACAATGAGCAAATAGGGATGATCAACATCATAAACTATATCGGATATCAAGTAATGAAGAATAGCTACACCACCATGCAAAAGCTGAGTATCTCATCACTCATTATTATGGCCTCCGAGCCTGAATCATGTCCTTCTCGCAGTCAAACGACTGGGGGCTGAGATATGTCACCACCCTTAAATGACCCTTGGCCAGAGCACATCCGACATAGTAATGACTGCCACAACGAGTTTCCAGAGTTTTGCGCCCACTAAGAGAGTCGTTAGCAATTGCAAGCGATGTGTAGATTGGGAGGATGTTACAAGATATCATTCAGGGCTTGTTCGTAGTTGTCCATCATTGAGTCCGACCGACGCGTAGAGAAGAACTTGCGAAGGCGGGCAAGAACATCTACATCATTCTTGCTGAAATAGTTGGGAGAGATGTACACCTTTGGTGAAATCGATTTACCACATCCGAGGGTGTAGTAGAAGCCCGGTGATGCACGTCCGGGGGCGTCATCATCGAGAACATCTGGTGCGTCCGCCAGGAAGGTCTTCCAAAAGTCCTTGAGGTCGTCAATCGCCTCGCCCGACATATCGAGCTTGCCCCCGAGGGTCAGACAGTCCATCATATACTCAAAGGTTGTATGCTTTGCTCTGATGTACACCTTGATGCGAGCGTCTTTCGGTGCGAGGCAGTCGATGGCGAGGATACCCGTCTCGAAGCTGTACTTCTTTGTGCCTTCTCTAAGGAATTCCAGGAGGGGTTCGGCACCGAGTGATTTGAACTGGTCGGTCGGGAGGCTACGAATAGACTGCTCCACGAGCTCGAGGTTTGTGATGCCGAGCTCTTCGGCCTTAAGCCCGGGATAGATATAGATCTTCATGACGGGTCCGCTCTTCTCGATGTCGAGGGCCACTACTGTACCTGCCTTTGGCGTTGTCTCTTCGATGAAGCAGTCCACGGTCTTTGTCCGCGTACCATGGGGCAGGATTTGTCTTGTGAAGTGGTTGTACCATTCCAGGTCCAGGTTGGGAACCAGCTTTTGTTGCTGAAGCTTGAAGATCCAGTCGTTTGTTGCGTGTCTGTTGAGAGGGTCGAGCTCTGTGCCAGCGTGAAGGCCAATGGGCTCGAAAGAGTAGCGAACGACAGCTTGGTTGTCGCGGCCCCATTCCCAACTAAAGTCAATGGGAGTAGAGTCTGGTGTCCCGGGACTTCTCCATCTTGTGACATTGCCGTGGCAGTCTGGTGAGGGGCCGAGCTCAGGGGCGACGAAGAGGGAGTAGAAGTTGAGCTCGCGGTACTGGTCTGCTGTGCTGTAGCCGGCGTATTTCAAGAGCTTAGAAAACATGCGCCCTGTCTTGTCCCACCAGAATTGGGAATCGTCGTCCCTGAACCGCAAGACGGAGTTCAGAAAGTCCCAGGGCTCATTTGACATGATCATTTCACCCATATTGAGTATGATACCGCGGCGCAGGACGTAGTGATTGGAGCAAAGTAAGGTGAGAGGCAAAAGTCGAGGCGCAAGAGCGAGGGCGAAGGCAGCTCAGCAGAACTCCCAGACGATCTAGCTGGTGTTATATCACATGTCTCAGCGTAAACCCCGCGACAGCAGTCACTATAATGGCCCCTCAGCTCCCGCCACTTTGCCATCCCAACGCCGTCGGGGTATATCCGTAGGTGAGGACTCTTGCCTAGCTCATTGGTTCATCTGATGCGGATGTTGATACTGGGGTTCAGAGTCGTCGACTCGTGGGATTGCAAGGTAAATGTGTGGCATGGGCCCGTCAAGTTTCGTGATAACTTGGACCGACCAGGGGATCCTGGACGCTCCACGACGGCTGCGCGGTTTCCAAGGTCGATGCTCGCCTGATGGCGGATGCATGCCGGCGGGAGCCCTCTACGAGACCGAGTCAAGTCATGCTGAACATCAAGATGAAATACATTTTAGTCACATCCTACTTTTCACCCATCCGCGCTTGTAAAGGGACTACATCTAGGATATCTGTTGGTCAGATTACGTCTCGGTCGCTACGACTTCTTGCCTCCTTCTGACAGGCTCCATACGGACATTGATACAGCCGAGAGCCTGCACGATATGAGGGGCAAAGGTAATCTCTATACGAACTCGTTTTCGGAGCAGCGTTTTATGCTAAATATCTAACGGCTGCGTATTCCAAGAAAACGCGACTCTTAATCTCCACTAATTAGCATACATGGCCTGATGACCATAAGGAGTGCTCCGGCACACAGGACTATGCACGACTGAAGGTCTGGGTTGGGGGAGATAGGCCAAACTGCCCGCTCGAAGCCCCTCGTTATAGGGATGTTTCGAAACAGGTGTATCCTGTTGCTGATCGATACATGGACTTGATTACAATTGCTTGTACGACGGCTATAGAATCCTGCGTACACTATCTCATTGACTAAGCACCTTGGCACGACCGTTGGAGGCTTGCCTTGCCGCGAGCTTGCCGCTCAGATCGCAGTAATGTAATCTTGTCATTCTAAGTGAGGAAGACTCCACAAATCGAAGCTTTGGTATCTATCATATCGGCACGATAAACCGGGCCCGGCACTTGGTCAAAGTATAATAAATTGACCTGGACTGTCGACGAGTCATGGCACACTCCACGATTACCCCAGAAGCCAAGATGAGCATCGACGTCGGCCTGCCAAGAAGGGAAGCAAGCTCAAACACCTTCGGGCTTATCCGCTCTCATTCCCAATGCTTCGGCCGTGGGGTTACGCTAACAGTGGAACATATCAACCGAAAGCTCAAGCATTGCTTAATTGGAAAAGATAAGTACAATCGGACCGCATACGATTCGTTTCCTTGATAGGGACTTACCATCTGACTCGTGATGCGGGCGTAAAGCGATCCGACGAGTACCGCTATGCGTCATATCGTCGAACAATCGGCCCCCTTTGGGGTCTTTTGGGGTTGCCATGCCGTCTTTTCCACATCCCGATTTCCTCCTTGTATGAACCCTCGTGCTCTCTCGTGGGAGACTCGCCCTGCCCTGTTGCTCTTTTGATCCAATTGTTTCATCAACAACCCCTCGCCAACAATAATACGACCAGCGGGGTCTCACGACCACAACTGACCAAGGTGGTAAAAATGGCGCTTCTGGGACTTCTAGCTCTCGCAGTAGGTATGGTCATGAGACTGGCAGAGACAGACTACTGATTCAGGGCACCTTGCAGGCATTCTTGGGAGTAGTGGCAAAGTGCGTTTACAATGCCTTTCTACACCCACTCAGCCGCTACCCCGGTCCGAAGCTCGCCGGTGTGACGAGGGCGTATTATCTGTTCTTTGACGTTCGCGGGGTAAGCCACTGGAAGGTCAAGGAGTGGCACGAGAAGTACGGAGAAGTGATCCGTATCGCCCCCGGCGAGCTGTCTTACACTTCTGGTCAGGCTTGGCAAACGATATATGGTACGTTCAGAAGGATCAGCATCGTCTTGGCGCTCAGTCATTTTAACGCAACGCCTACTTAGGCTTCCCCAATAAGGAGGGCACAGGTAACTTTGAGAAAGATGCTCAGTGGTGGAACAAGAATGTCAACGGCGTCGAGAATATTCTCACAGCCGACGATGCCGGCCACAAGCGTATGCGCAGGCTCCAGAATCCTGCCTTTTCGGACAAGGCCCTCAAGGCTCAAGAGTCCGTCATCACCGGCTATGTCAAGCTTCTCATCCATAAGCTCCACGGGCAGGCGTCCAGTGGGAGCGCAGAGTCCGCGGCTGTCGTGGACATGAACTCCTGGTACAACTTTACCACCTTTGATATTATTGGCGACTTAGCCTTTGGCGAGCCATTCTATTGTCTGCGCGATGCTAAGTGGCACTGGTGGCTGCATGCTGTCTTTGATATCTTCCAGGCTGGGACCTACCTTCGTGCTGCTCGTCGATTCCCGTCACCGCTGTCTGAGATGCTTCTGTTTCTCATTCCCCGCCGCCTCATCAAGACGAGAGTTGCCCAGTTTCAGTTTGGTGTTGAGCGTGTGAACCGCCGTCTTGAGCAAGAAACTGATCGTCCCGACTTCAGTAGGCTCACATCTGCTAACTACAATCAAGGCAGGTTGCTAACGGGACCCATAGTGTACTACATCTTGCAAGGGAGCGATGAGAAGGGCATGTCAACCGAGGAGATCTATGCCGCTGCCCAGGTCCTCATCGTCGCCGGCAGTGAGACTACAGCGACAGGTCTGACCGCAGCCACCTATCTCCTCTGCGAGAACCCGCAAACACTGGCCAAACTCACTTCAGAGATCCGTAACACTTTTGAGAACGAAGACGACATTACCATCCAGAGCACAGCTGGACTGAGCTACCTCAACGCTGCCATCGAAGAGGCCCTTCGACTGGGACCTCCTGGCCCTGGAACATTTCCTCGCGTGGTCCCTAATGGCGGAAGAATGGTCTGTGGACAGTTCGTCCCTGCCGGGTACTCAGTCGGCGTTCACCACCTGGCCATCAACCGATCGCCGATTCACTTCAGTAAGCACGATGAATTTTATCCCGAGAGATGGCTCGGGGACCAGAAGTTTGAGTCGGACCAGAAGTTAGCGGCCCAGCCGTTCTCATTCGGGCCAAGGAACTGTATTGGAAAGAAGTAGGTCTCAGACTCCTCCTTTGAGTGAATGTGACTGACCAACTTCATAGTCTGGCTTATGCCGAGATCCGGACAATCATTGCCCGCGTTGTGTGGAACTTTGACATGAAGTTACACGCTGATAGTGCAGGCTGGTTAGGGAGGCAAAAGATGTTTACTACCTGGCACAAGACAGAGATGAAGGTGTATCTTTCCGCACGGGCAAAGTCACCATAAGTGGGCACAGGCATGACTCCGTCTGAGAAAAACTTTCTATAATCTTTTATTAGCAAGGACCTAGTCACTATGCCTGCCACGATGAACCTGAGCCAGATGTCAATACGGCGTGAAGATTGGTCTGAGGCCTTTTGAGTAGGGCCGTTCGATGTTACAAGGAAACGAAACATGTAAATATTACTCGAGAACCCTAAATCACATATCCCTATATTCTGCAAGCAATATCTCATCTGTGTCTTCACTCGCTGCTAGTACCAAGTTTCCATGAGCGAGCATGGCACTGTCACGTAGAGGTACATCGGTCTGGCCCCCCAGGGCCTGGACGGTATCGTTGATTCGAATTAGTGCATTATACTTTAGGTATATAACTGCAGCAGATATAAAATTATGCAATCCCGCTTCTCCTGGTCTTCCAGGCAGGGCTGACGAATACTCAGGCTGCTTCACTCCTTGTTGGAAACACGTGGGCCGGACCCTCCCAGATCGTGCCGAAGCCAGCATGATCCCGCCCCACGAGCTTGCTCCGCACTACATGTATCTTGTCCAGTGGTCCTTTGTTACCATCATTCAAGAGAAATGTAGCATGGGTCTTTGGTAGGTGGGGATGTGCAGCTGCTAAAGCAAGACTTCGTGGGGTTGGCAGCATCCAAATTTAGATGTAGCATGTCACAATTGAGCACAAGATGAAGATAGCTGTCATCCGGCCTGGTTCCACGTCTTACACTGGGCGAAGAAAGCTGATTCTGGGATACTAATCCCTATCACTCGCCTCACGGAACTTTATTCATGACGGGCTCAAGTTGGGCCTGATATCGAAATTACAGGGGCTTCTGTCATCTCCTTTGGCCACGCCAATAGCTCCCCCCAATACGACCCAAGATGAGCTGCAATGGACCTTACGAGGTTCTGTCCCGCGGCCCCGAACGCCCAGCAGTCTCTCGCCTTATGCATCAACACGCCCCAATATGCCAGCACCACCAACGCCTCGGGCCGTCGTTGGTCGAGCAGGCTGACGTACTCGGCTGGAACCCGAATTGACCACTCCTGTACAGTGCTGTACCGCCGACCCGCAGGTATGTCTGTGTTGCGATGAATGTCGAACATGAGCTGCAGGTGCTCAACTGCTTCCTGGCACGCTGCTTTGGATGCATCGTTGAGGTCGCTTGATTCAAAGAGGCGCAGTAGATGTCTACACTCGTTGCCAGTCTCGTACCGTTCTCTTCTGATTATCATGTTCTGCACGAAGCGGCTCCCTGCACCTAGATGGGTATCAAAGTGAGACCGAAGCCTGTCCCATGAGCCCCCTACGACGCTCCGAACGACCCGATGGAGGCCCATGCAGTGGACTAGCTTATCCAGAGTGACTGGAAGATCAGCGGGTATTGAGAACGTGTCGAAGAGAACGTGTTGACCGAGCCAGGTGGAAAACAGAAATACTGTAAGGAAGTCTTCATCAGACAGATCGCCGTCAGCCACCGTAAAACGTGAAAGGCTTCTCGTCTGTAGTCGTGTTGCTTCGCTGCGATAGAAGGCCTGATCTTCTCCCGGCAAAGTGCTCTTGTGTGCTGCAGCTATAGCTAGAAGCTCGTCCATCAGAAATGACACCCGGAAGGCTTGCTTCAGTGACATTTGTTGGTACTTTTGTCGCGTGAGAGTATCGCCGAACCCTTGGTTGTAGCCCAAGTTATGCTCGAAATGGTATAGCAACTCCATGTGCCGGAGATCGTATGGCTCTGTCGGCACATGGCTATTACGGCAAGTCGCTTGCTCCGGGGTGATGGGCACCGCCGGGCTTGCTGTTGATGACCCTATTGATGTTGCTGGGCTCGGACATTGGTACGAGAACGTGGACGATGATGGTACTGCCGCCTCAGTGTCGAGGTATGAGCATCTCCTGAGAGCAGTCGTGCAGTTGACGCATGCCGGCCGGGACTCGTCGCATTTTACATGACGTTGCTTACACTCTTTGCACCCAAATCTTGATTTTCGATGAGGTGTCCGCTGGCGCATTTTGCCAAGAGCTTCCGGTGACAGGCGGGCGGAGTGGCGTAATCAAAACTGCCAATGTTCCTCGAGGAGTTTTCACTCCCAAGTTTCGGGCGAATGTGAAGCAAAAGCAGCCCGTCTGATGCGAATACACTGAGATGGAATGGCTTCAAGGAGCAAGAGAGAAATCAAGCCATCGAATGAATTATTACCGGAAACATGATCGGGAAGGGCAGAAAGACTCCTTTAAAGTCTCGGTCCAATCTCAAGCCCCGCTAACAAGCATATCCCTGGACCACGCACTGTGCGACCGAAGACGCCTTTTCAGCTCGCTCGACTTCATGGAGTGAGTGGCAGTGTATGATTCTGACGAGATTGTGATTACTAGAGAATGTTGATGTCGCGAAAAGAAGTTCAAGATGACCAGAGATTTTATACTCAGCTGTCCTGCGTCAAATATCTGAAGAAACCGTGAAGGCATAATCATCCGTACAGAATTCGAAATACGCGTATATCGTGAGCTGCTAGCGAGATCTCGTAATGTCCGTTTGTCCAAAGGTGGTTTCGTTAGACGGTTCGTCTGATGATTAGTCGAACTCAAAGTGACAACCCATGAAGAGAAGATGCAAGCAAGCCGACGTTGTTCATGTAATTAGCTATAAATATGCAACATTCTACGTATGCCTCGAAGATTCAGGCATCACTTCAGCAGAACAATGAAATACCTTCATTTGTAACGCCATCCACAGTCCGGATGTATCAGATCGTCACTGGGTGACACGCCTCGAAGAAGCTCAGCGCCTGCCTTAGCGTCCGTCGTATTTATCCCTGCGCGTACTGTAAAGTGAGCGATTGGACAGTCGATGGCAGTCCAAACCCGAACCAATTAGAGCCTTCTGAGTACGGACTGGTCCACAATGTCGGTGGGCACCAGTGTCCTCAATATTCTGATTCACGAACATCCATGGTGTTATTGCCCTCTGTCTCCCATTATGAACCCGAGTTGAATGCTGGCAGATTGTCTTATTCTCCTTCTATCTCTTCAACTCAGAAACTTTTTGGTCCAAGCATTTCCTCTGGTATGACAAAGACTTCTCAACGGAAAAAAGATTTGTCTTCAAATAGAGTAGCCTCTCGCCCACACCTACGGAAACCACCACCGCGACATCAAAAACAACGTCACTACACAATCGTGAAGTCCAGCCCACGATTATGACAAAAGAATGGACGATCTGGGAATCGAACCCAGGACCTACCGCATGCTAAGCGGTCATTATACCACTAAACCAATCGCCCAGGAGGATGATCTAGCCCGGACTTGAACCGGAGACCTTCAGTGAACAGTGAGATTATCGTGAGAGAGTCTCAACTTGTTAGACTGACGTGATAACCAACTACACCACCAGACCATTTGAATTGCTGAAGGCGCGAGCGAGAGATTGCCCTAGTGTGGGTGGAATCGTGCCGCGTTGAGCCCTGGTGGAGTTGACAGCTCAACTCGCAGGCGGGAGCTCCGCACGGAAGACCCCCGAGTCCACAGATACCGGCCCGGCATTCAAATGATACCAAGCCCGAACCGAACGAGCCGGCTAATAAGGGACTCTGCTGTATAATGGTAGACAGACAAGAGGTCCTTTCCCCTTTCTTGTCCCAGAGTTCCCTCTTAAACTTGTCGCCAAGGCCTGGAGACAAAATAAGTAACTGAAGTGCCGCGCCAGTCGGGACCAGCTGGCAATACTTTGGAGCTTGATTATCTAAGCAAATGCCAAGGGGTCGCTATTCGGTGTTTCGCGCTCTCAGCCCGCCGGCCCATCACGTAACTTTCAGAAGTGAACCACCGAATCTCACCAGTTCATCTCACATCTCACTCTCATCTCACGTCCCCAATGTCCAGCGCTCAAGCAAACGAGACGACTTCGCTCTTACCATCACGAAATACCCATTCCGATACCACCGCCGAGGAAACAGAGACAATGAGCAGCCAGGCCTTTTGGAGAGTCGGTGCCATCTTCGGCGCCACCGCCGTCGGTCTCGGAGCCTTCGGAGCCCACGGCCTGAAGAACCGCATCTCTGATCCCGCAAAGATTGCCAGCTGGTCCACCGCCGCTCACTATCAAGTGAGTTGCTCTCATCTTGTTTCACTTATCATCATCAGTGAGATCAGTAGCTGACCCTAAGACAATCATTAGCTCGTCCATTCCGTTGCCATTCTCATCGCTCGATCCAACCCCCTCGCCGCCGGTCTTTTCACCGCCGGCGCGACCATGTTCAGCGGTAGCATCTACGCCCTTATCCTCAACCCTGATCTCAAGTTCCTCGGTCCCGTCACTCCAATTGGTGGCCTTGCTCTGATTGCTGGCTGGCTCGCCTTGGCTTTCACCAAGGGTCGCGTTCGTTTCTAAGCCTAAGCGCTTCCACTGAGATAAAGCCCATTGTCGTGCACTCAGTCTCCGACCCAGAGGAATGCAATTGACTCCATTCTTGTAATACTACCTGTACCATAGACACCTGAGTTGCTGCGCGCACCTTCGAATGCACATCCACTCCTCCTGAGACAGACTGTTCCTATTTGACTTATCATTCATGTCTTTACCCAAACCATGACTGTGATAGGCTCACGTGCCTTACGCGGGTACCTTCACGTCAGCTTCAACCCCTTCTCGTACGGACTTTCCAATCGAATATTAACAGGGGCAAGGGCCGTCAGTCGTTCATGCGTAGTTGCCGGGCGCCCTAACATGGAAGGGGTTGCTGTCAGCTTACCACAACCCCTGAGACTAAGAGCCGCCGGGGTAACACGGTCAGCCCTACGTGATATCGAATACAGGCTGCGCACCATCTTGTGTGAGGAAGAACTTCCGTTCAGCTTTCGCTAAACGTCTGACTAAGTTGAATTGGATAAATCGTACTCAAAGCAGCTTCACGGGGTTCATTCTTGGCATGGTTGCCTTTCTACATCGAGCATATTCGGTGATGACCCCTGCCCAGATGACGACGTTTGAGCCTGGGGAATTGGCTATTCATACTCAGGTGACATTTTCCGCCACCAAAATGACAAGTCGGGGATGATGGGGTCGAGAAAGGGGTCAGATATGTCCCATTCGGTTCTAAAAGGTACTCCTCTTCGCCTAGGAAAGAATGAGCATCTGACAAATCGTCTCTCGATCAATCGCGGCAAAGATCTATAAAGAGGCCCACAAAGACAGATACCTGACAGAGCAATTACTGAGCTTTCTCTCATACCATTTCCAATTCCTCAAAAACAATAATCATGACCAATCATCAAACCTCACGCCCCAAGACCATGCGCGCCGTGGTCTGGGAAGGCAAACCCTATGAGATGGCTGTCAAAGCAGATATCCCACTCCCGCGTCTCGAGGAGCCAGAAGACGCCATCGTCCGCATTACCACATCTGCTATCTGCGGCACTGACCTTCACATCTACCATGGCATCATGTCCAGCGCCGAAGTGCCCTACCCCATAGGCCACGAGGCTATGGGAATTGTCGAGGAAGTAGGGGATGCCGTCGACAATCTGCAAGTCGGTGATCGCGTTGTCGTCTTTGGCCTTCCCGAAGACGGTGTCATCGACACTGACAACCAGATCTTTCCTCAGCTTGGTGGATTCGGTCTTGGCAAAGACTTTGGCGACCTAGGTGGTCTCCAAGGTGGGTATCTGCGCCACTAATTACTACAAAAATATAGAATGAAACTAATTTCAATTCCAGCCGAGTACGTCCGCGTGCCCTTCGCTGACAGCTCCCTCATCAAGATTCCTAAAAAGCTCTCCGACAAGGAGTGGCTCTTCCTCAGCGACATCTTCCCCACCGCATGGGAAGGGCTGAACTGGTCGGGCTTCCAGCCAGGCGACTCCGTGGCTGTCTTTGGTGGCGGTCCCGTCGGCCTGCTCTGCGCCTATAGCGCCATCATTCGCGGTGCTAGCCTAGTCTACGTCGTGGACCACATTCCACAGCGCCTAGCCAAAGCCGCCAGCATCGGTGCCGTTCCCATCAACTTTACCAAGGGCGGTGCCTCGGCCTCGGAGCAGATATTGGCTCTCCGTCCCGGCGGCGTGAACCGTAGTGTCGACTGCTGCGGGCAGGAGTGCGTCAATGCCGAGCTGAAGCCGCAGCAAGATTACATCCTACGTGAAGCCATCGCCGTCACCTCTGTTGGCGGCGGGATCGGGATACCTGGCGTCTACTGGGCCCAGGAGAAGAGCGTGGGCGCGCCCAATGCAGATAAGATGAAGAAGAACCTCAGTCTACCAATGAGTGACTTTTGGATCAAGGCGCTGACGATGAAGAGCGGTATTGTTCAGGGGCAGCCGACGTTTGCTGCGCTGGTGAAGCTGGTTGAGAGCGGACAGGCTAGACCTGGTTTCATTGCTACGGCAGAGTACGACCTCGATGACGCTCCCAAGGCGTACAAGAGGTTTGATAAGAAGCTCGAAGTCAAAGTTTTGTTCCGTGGCGCTGGCAAGGAGGGGAGGGACGACTATGAATGGGATGAGGATGTGGAGTTGAAGAATCAAGGGGGCACAGAAATGCGGTAAGCTTCATACCAGCACTATGTTGAAACATGATACTCACTAAATGACAGGTCATCTGGAAGAGCCAAGAGAGCAAGATTGCACTAGGATAAGCTCTTCTCTGGCGATATAAGCTTATGGAAACCAGAGCCTTTTACGTAAATAATGGGTACCATTACCAATGCACTACAACAGGGGAGACTAGATAGTACATAACAATGGTACATCAACCTGGAATTCAATTTCACTCATACCTCTTTGCTGACTCTTCGACTTACTCTGTATTATCCATTCCATAAACTTTTACACTGTTCATACAACTCGAGACTGGAGTATTTACATTGTCAGCCAGACTCGCACGCAAATGTCCGTCTTGCACCGACTTCCAACAGAACTCCTTTTCGAGATAATGGATCTCTTGTCTCCAGATGATCTTTACTTCTTTCGACAGTCTTCGGCAATCTGTATGCACGCCTTTTCCCACCGAACCTTTGCTAGATATCATATTAAGGACTCACCTGCAGAGCCCGAAAGCAAGGACGTCGGAAAGTCCCTCATATCACGATTGATGACTGTCTTGATGGCCTGCCTACTGTTCTTGCGCCTGGCAGATTCAAAGAAACAGGCGGCCTCTATTAAAGGACAAATTCAACAAAAGAGACAGATGTTGATGAGATTCGACGTTCGGCAGCTCTCGTACTCAGACAGGCAAGATTTTAGAGAGCGTGTCCAAAGGGGGGTTCTCTGCAAAGACTGCGCTTTGCGCGCGCCGAGAAGAAGATACAAAGGCTTAATCTGTATCGACGCCTTGTTCTGCCTATATTGCAGAACGAAGCACTTGAGATCTTGGTTCTCGGATGGAATGTCGAGTCCAGAAACCCAGTTGTGCATCCCACGGGAAGGGAAGCTAATTATCTGCCCACACTATCACCAGTCACTCAAAAAGATGTACAGGGACACACTTACAACAAGATTGGACTCCGATGATTATTACATTCAATTATTTGAATGCCAGCTATGTGCCCCGGTGTTCAAGCTTGGTGGCGAAATGGCCCCTGGCATTTACATGTCCCGTGGGACTTGGGTGCACGGTATTATCAAATACTATCAGCAACCCCTATTGATAGCACGATGGAAACTTCCCATCTGCAAGATCGGTCGAGGGGAGGTGCTCACCAAAGAGCGTCTTCAGCAATCTCTTCGGGGGCTACAGCCGCTCAGTCATTTTCTATGCCCTCACCTGGCTTTTGGCGATACCTTTCTCATGCGGGCCTTCGAACAGGGATACTGTATCTGCTTTCAAACCCCTCCGACAGGGGCAAGATTTGGCACTGGCACAGTCCCGAAGTCTCAGAACTTTGCAGGTGCTGCGCGTGTCGTGATCGTTCCAGCCCCGATTTGATGGGCAGATTTATGGCCGGCGACAATGCATGTCGACATCTCGTCAGGTGCCCACACTGCCCAACTGTTTATGAGTGGATTCTGGATGGGCGTCAGATCTTGCTTGAAAAGGAACAATCCGCTTTTCATCTTTCCCTATTTCCTAACAGCGAGGGTAATTTCAGAGTTCGACCAAAGTTCGGCCAGCTGAGTCTAAAGAGTTGGATCAGGTGTCTTGACACTATGAAATTCCGTGGCAATGAAGCCTCAAGGTTTCAGTTGTTTGGTATACGGGAAGGGTGTTCTAATGCTGAGCCTGAGATTTTGAGATGGGACAGTTTAGTTTGGGAAAGTCTCACCCCACCAATTATAGGAGACAATTGGGTATACTAGGAATGATTTACTTCATTTCATATCATCGCGCAACTTCAATGCTCGCCTATAAAGCAATCTTAGCTACATGTGTACCGCACACGTCTCACCATTTAACTGAAAGCGGGCTTCTGATCAGCACCCTTAACATCGACCAAGTACGAGACCCGATCCTTGCAGTAGAACTCAACGGCGGGCTTCCCTTCCAGGCTCGCCTTTCCCTCATCGAGACCACCGGCCTTGATGCACGTGACGTCGGCCATCAAGTCCAGCTCGGTATAAAGACTGGACCCGCAGTTGGAGCAGAAGAAGTGCCTGTTGTTCTTGCCCGAGTCGCCAGTGATGTCGTAGAATTTGGGCTCACCTAAATGACCGGGATTTAGTGCATATTTAGGGAAGAATATTGGGGGAGCCTCTCGTACCTTGGGTGACCTTGAAAGATGTACGAGGAACGACGGCGTTGGAAGTGAAAGCTGAGCCGCTCCACTGTAATTCATTAGCTACATGTATGGACTTGATGAGAGTCCTGATATTGGGGTTTTCATACCTTTTGGCAATCTGTGCAGTGGCACAGGGCGGTGACTTGAGGGTCCTCTGCTTCTTATCAGCGTGGTTCACACGATGTTGCAATCGGGCCAGCCTACCAGTACTCTCGTACTTGATCGCCTTGCACATGCAGCTTCCCTTCAAACCCATTGTGTATAGTGACGTATGTACTGTTCAGTAATCAACGTGTAGAAAAAAAGAGTAAAGGATGTAGTGAAGTTGAGATGTTTGGAATAGGCTGACTTTAACCGTTTGGGATGAGGGGGAATCTACAGTACAGAACGTCCGATCGCCGTTTTTATACGTGTTTGAGACTTTCGGCTAGCGTTAGTGCCGGCAACAAGGAAGCTGAGCTTTCTCCTCTTCCTCCTCCTCTTCTTCCCTGTCTGTCATGATTAGAGCATTGGATAAGATGGAGATGTGCGGGGTTAGTTCGCTGGTTAAGGTAAGCACGGTAAGGTAATAGGCGCCGTGGGGAGATGCATGGACCCTTTTTCTTTCAATGCTGCTCAATTGCTCCATCTATCGGCCTCTTGATTAGATCTCCGCGGGGGCGTTAGGCGAATCAAACATGAGGTTTTCTCCAGTTTGCCCTGTTTGCTGACAGATCACCGTGGGATGCTAGAATGACGTTGCTGTCAATCCAAGGGCGCAAAGGATCCAAGTATTCATACCGGGTTGGAATTTTTCCCCCATGTCTTTCGGAGTAGAGAATTTATCATAAGAATCTAGCCGGTCGGCAAATCAAATACTAGTCGACAAGTATTCCGAGTATTAACTGCCTTCTGAGAGCTACCATTACTAAGTCTAGCGCCATTATTGTAACTACCCTGCGCTTTCCGATAGGTACTTATTCTTCGCAGAATACGTAAGAAGTAGACGATCATAACAGCAGTAACAGTAGCGGTAGCAAGAGCAGCAGCAAGAACAGCAACAGTAATAATACAGATAGCAGTAACAGGGCTAGTAGAATTGGAGCAATGGAAAGTATTCAGCAACAAACTATCGTGTCACTCACTTGGCTGAACTAGTGACCGATCATCAGTCGTTGGATAATGAAGAATGTGGAAGCTTGGGTTGGGGCGAGGGGCCGGCGCATTGCCAAGAGTTTCCGGTGTTCTCGCTATCAACCCCATCGTCAATGTGCGGAGCGCAAACATCCGCAGTTGCGATAGCGGTGTTTCGAGCGGGTGAGAGATAAGCCAAGAGCAAGGCAAATAACACCAAGTCCAACAGGAATTATTTGAATGATTCATGTTCGTAGTCGATTAATGTAATTAGTAGTGCAATTTGATGCGCCATGTTTGAGACGCAACGAGTTCAAGCTCGATATCGATGTCGCAGGTTTCCTGCCTCAAAGTCCCGCTCTCTTTGAGCCCTCCGCTCCTCGCGATGGGCTTCCACTCTCTTTCGCGCTGCCACCAACAGGGCCCTGGCTTCTTTCTTGCGAAGTCGTTCCTCGGGAGAAGCTTGGCGTTCCCTTGCCATGTCGTCCAGCATCTTTCTGAGTTCTGCTGGCGGAGTTTCGCGCTGTAGTTTGCGGAGGTAGGCGGTTGCAGTGACCATGCTGATGCCGGACATTTCATTCTCCTTGGCATCGGCGTCGGTGGGAGATGAAGAGTTGTTTGACGACATTATGGTTGTTGAAGCAGATGGTGGATTAATGTGATTCGCGGATGAAGACATGAAGACGGCCCTGGATAGGCAGTCCGTCTCAGAATCAAGACAGAGAAAGAATATATGTGTGAGTGAGTGGGAGGTGAAAAGATAGACGCCAAATGACGGGTAGTGCAGCCCCTTTTGTAAGAGAATGGCAGAGCCGTAGAGGTCGCGATGTCACCGGCTTGAATCCTGCAAGGGTAGCAACCCAAGCTCAGCCCTATGCATCGTCCTAGCGGGCGGGGGGGGGGGGGCTAAATCTTGGGTATTTCCGACGTTCCCCATGTTTTACAGTTTTGCAACTCTTATACAAGGGGCGATGCCATGAACACGGGGAGAGGGAGTTGTCACTGGCGCCTTTTCATACATCAATGGAGATATCATCCGCATCCTTGCAGCTAGCTACCTTACTGTGGAATTGTTGTCATAAGGGTTTCTGGAGATAAGTTTCGCTGGTTTACCTAACATGCTGTGATGTTGGCTCACCGAGGTACCTCGACGACAACGACTCCGAGCACGTCAAAGTCAAACAAGCTCCCCACTTGTACAGCCTACGTATGCCTCCTTCATCCCGATCTCCTGCAAGATGAGTTTCTCCACAAGAATGAGCACGTCAACGTTCCACATTGGATATCGGAAGCAGGCAAGTATCGATTTGTGAAGTGAAATAGAAGGCTCGTCATTATGGATGTAAAATGTATCACCCGTGGTATCTTTTCCGTCCAGTCATTACAAGTACAGGCCCCTGGTTCAGAGGGCGTAATTCTCAGTGTGCAAGTAAATCTCCTCGAGCATATCATCGCCCCATATCGCTGCCTGAAGCCGGGCAACAGTGTTCGCCACACCAACACGCATGGCCGGCGGCCCACACACGAATACCGCCGTTCGCCTGCCGAGGATGCCTCTGCCGTCGGCACCGCCCGTCGCCCATTCTTTCAGCATGTATCCCAAGTCCGGCCGGCCATATTCGACGCTCCAGCCGCCATCGATCTGATGGGGCACTGGGAAAGCAAAGCGCATCAGGCTCTTTTGGAACTCTGTAGGCGTCTCCGGGAAGCCGAAGTCAAAGCCTGAAGGTGGGCCAAATGTGCTGGTGGGACGGGTTTGACCTGCGCTCGGGAGGTTGGTCGTCCTCAAGTGAGCCAGCTCTGGAGGCCGTATTGGCACATCCGAGTTTCGCGGGCTTGTCTCGGGGATCTTCCTTGGGGAGGCAGGTGCGTAGTTGAAGTGCGGCACTTCGCCTTTGGTGTTGATGGGAGGGAAGTGGAACTCGCGCTTTTTGGAATCTCTCTCTTCCTCCTCGTCGTATTCGCGGCCCTCGAGCTTACGCAATGACTCTTCCTGGGCAGAGAAGCGATTAGAGGGTGGTGGTCCTGGGGGTGGAGGTGGGTATTGATGTGGTTGTAAATATTTCTGCTGCGGTAAGGCGGTAATTCTATCCTCTTGCTCGGCGCGCAATTCCTGCTCTCGGTCAGGATCGCCTTGTGCTACAGACTGGATAAGAGCGGAATTGCGCTTGGAAGCAATTCCTGCCACAAAGCCATCGAGCTTGTCATGGAACATGTGACTCAAGGCCCTCGGTGCAGGACGGTCGTGGCCAGCCATCATCATGGCACGGTTGCGCACTGCTGAAGTGACGAAAAACTTGCAAGTAACACTCTCTGGGGGCGCAGACTCGCGGCAGATTCTGAGCTCTTCACGGAACCAGTCCATGGCTTCGAGTCTTTTGAGGGCCCATACCACGACCACTTTGCGCGTGATGGCTTTCCCATCACGCATGCGCTTGATCAAGTTGAGTAATTGCGACATCAATGCCGTGATGCCACTCCCACCGGCAATGAGGATACAGGTGTCGAAGGCTGCTAGGTCCCTTCGCATGCCTCCATATGGCCCATCCAAGAAGGCGCGGTATGTGTGGAATGGCCCCCTCTCGATAGCCATGTCGAGGACCTTCCGCGTGAAGCCACCATACGGCTTGAAAACCAGCACGCAATCACGGTACTGCTCGCCGTACTCGGAAGGAAAATCCTCGCTACAGAGCGACGAGATAGTAAAAGGGTGATTGTCAAAAAAAGCGACTCCTGGCATGCGAAGGTAAACATATTGGCCAGGCTTCCACCTCATCTGAGTCGGGATCGTAATCTTGATGGCGTTCTCAGCGAGGAGGCTAATGGCCGCTTCGTCTCCGACCATGAAGCTCAGTCGCCATGGTCTTGTCCAGTTGAGGTTTATCAGACGAATGGCATAGCAGAGAACCCAGATGCCGACTGTTGCCCACAGGTAGTCCCAAGAAGCAAGGTAATTCTTGGTGTGCCAGAATAGGAGCCCAACATACACCATGCCAACAGGTACATGTAGCATGACGAAGAGCTCGTATGCGACTCGGCGAATGAAGGGCAGAGATGCGACGCAAAGCCAGACCAGTGGCACGAGACAGGCTATACCAGTACCGTAGATGACGCCGCTGCCGCCGGGGAATAGGCGAGAAAAGACATCCATGCCACCGTCGTCCCATACTGGCTGAACGTAGAATGGAACGGTATGTACAAGCGACAGAAACAGGCAGAGGTAGCCTGCCCACCTGTGGAAGACATTGAGGCGCTCCGGCCCGATGCCAATCAGGATGGACAAGACATTTGCCTTCATGCTGGTCACAATGATCCAAGGTGTCAATGCGACAGCAATCATTCCGGCTCGTATAGCAATGGGTGGCGAACCGAATTGAATGCTCTGCCAGTATAGTGGTTGCTGGAGAAAGCAGTAGAGCGTCACAAAAGCCAAGGCGATGAGACCGCAGGTAACTACGGCGAGGGAGGAGAATGTGAAACGGTGGCTACCCCATACAAAGTCGGGAATCGGCCGGTAAAAGACCCAACGGAAGAGGGCCAAGGTATCGTTAACGAAGCCAACTGAGGAGAAGTGAGCCCTTGGTTTGAATTGCTTCTCGCCAAGCCCTTCGGAGTCGGGGAAGAAGTGCTGTGCTTGTCCCGTATGTACGGCGTGTGCGTAGTCGGGATCCGTGTTGTAGAGGTTGGCATAGTATTCCTCCACTTCTTGCTTGTATATGGCTTGGCGAATTTTGTCTTGCCAAAAGTGCCAAGATCGCATAAACAGAACTGTTCCCATGAGGGCCAGCGCGAAGTAAGTCCAGCCCATGCCATATTTCCCAGACTTGGACCAAGGGTCAACTGTTAAGGCCTCGATTAAACCTGGCGGACTGTCGGGTTTGGGCGTGATGGCAATGCGCTTGGCTAGTTGTGCTGCCGTTTTGGTGGCAGCGTCTGCCAGGTCGCGGATACGAGTAGCCATTGCAAGGCGACAGAATTCGAATTATACTGCGCGGTAGAGCGACTGCGCGCGGAATTATACAGTTATGTCGACATACGGTGCAGTCTGAAAGAGTTTAATGGCTGGGGGTCGTCGGGATAGTAAGATACCTGCCCCTCGCTGGTCGGTTGATCGTGTAGCCAGCTGAGAAGAATCGAAAGCGTAATGTGTGCAAGAACCCTTGGTAGCGGGGCCAAGATGAGTAGGTTCAATGCAATGCGATGCTATGCTTTGGCGGAGTAACGAGCGACCGGTAAGAAAACAGACGGGAGCACGGGAAAGCGCGAATTGGGGGCGCCACCAGGGGATATATGGAGGTGAGATCGGAGACGCTCCGAAGTGGAGAGGTCCCAGTGGTTTGACTCTGGGGTGTGGGCGGCGTGATGAGCACACCTCTGTTATCGACAGTCTCGTCACGTTGCCTACAGATTCGGTCGGGAAGCGGGTTCAGTCAAGCGTGGTGACATGTGTCAAGGTAGAGGATTAGTGATAAGACGGCGAATATTCCATGTGGAGGGGGTCGGATGGGCTGCGACCTCGATGGGGTCGTGCAATGAAAAGCCAGATGGGGGATGAAGGGCTTTTCTGGGTCGGATGGGCGAGTGTGAATGGCACGAGGCCCAGCGGCTGACCGTACTTTAATATTGGCTGGCCGCGATTCTGGTCGTTCCCCGCGGGCGGATGTCACACAATGCAGGCCGGTGCGTGGGCGCTAGAGGTGTGGATGCGATGCAGGAGCAAGCTGCAAGCTGCAAGCTCTTGGGCAAAGGTACGGCCGTTTGCTCGGCAGACAACGACTATTGAAGATGAAGACCAGGGGTGGCAAGCGGGATGGATGCGTTGGTTCCGGGCGCCATCAACGAAAAGTGTGATCGGCGGGAGGTAAGATGTCCAGATTGCCAACGTCGCCGCAGCGCTAGTTCTTGTCGATGTCGTCTGAGTCGATGTTCAGACACCTGAACGAGGGAAGCCGTAGGCAGCTGTAGAAACAGGAAACGACTTTGCAATACCGTCGGGGTAACGTCCTCGGTGACGAAGACTGTCTGTGTACCCGGAGGTTGTCAGTCTAGAAACGTAAGCGGCAGTCGCGGCCTCCATGGCGTGGAAGATGCGGTTGCTGACGGCCACAGATATGCTTCAGTAACTTCTGGAACAGCAGAACTGAGCTTTCGTTGGTTCGGTCGTGCCATGTGCCATGAGATGATGGGAAGGACCGGAGAGCGTAGGTAACACTACTCTTTGAACAGCTGTCATTGGAGCAACGCCGGAATGACGGCAGAGCATTTTGAGGTGCGATCCGTCAAGTTGACCGCCGAAGGAAACATTGAGATGGAATTGACCAACAGCTGGCAAAAGTGACCAAGAAACTGCAAGGCGAGGGCCTGCAGAAGCTGCATGGGTCGGCACACATGGTGGACAGGTGCATATTGGGGGCGGTTGATGCTCTTGGTGGCGGTCGAATAGCAGAGTGAGAAGAGGATGTGACGGGCAAAGATGTGGTCGACAACTTTGACAGAAAGGCCGATGGAGGAGGACGAGGGACGGCGGAGACGGTCGAAAAAGGCGGGAGACCCCCGGCATTGCAGCGTGATTCGCAGGGTTGGGAAAGGGAAAGCTCCAGTGGGGTTACCTTCCCGTTCGGACCCCAGCCACTACGGGCGGTAATTCGGTGGTTTTGGTTGGCTGGGATACTGGATTGTTCTCCACTATGCGCGTTTGTGTGCCCCTCCTTGCGCTAGTCACACCGTGGTACGTGCCCAGACACCTTCCGTTGACGAGCAGCACCGACCCTTGGACCCAATTGGACCACTGGACCTGCCCGGGGATGTTTGGCAACTGCACCTCACTCTATCCGTTCTTTTAACCATATGGTAAAACCAAGCTTCCTCTTGATGAACAGCTGTAACAAGATTCTTTGTTCGCTCATCAGCCGGTACCTGACTTCTGTAATGCACCACGTTCCTCCGAGGACGAAAACCTGCGACCTGCAATCGCTTGCTTGGACCACTCCAACGTCGCTGACAGATGACCCGTCGTACTTGTCCAAGAACCCCTCTTCTTTCTCTCTCTCTCTCTCCCAATGCTACAATTGCAGCATTTGAACATGGCATTCAAATCTTTACCCGAGTCAAGCACACGGTGAATACCTCCTCCTGGCCGCCTCTTTCCAACCAGATCTGGAAGTCCAGATTACCGTGCATCCCAAACAGGCGAAAGCAACAGAATTCGACCCCGCCGCCCAGAACCGCCAACCGCCAATAGCCTGGCTAAAGATGTGACGAATCTCCTTCGATCCCTGGTCCCAATAGATTGGGCTGCCAACAACATGTCCACCTTCTATGGCTGGCTGGCATATGCCAACATGTCTCCCACCACGCCTCACACCGTTCGAACCTACGATCATACGGACATGGTCAGACACCCTGCTGTCATGCATGGCCTTCCAAGATATTGTTCAAGATGCAGATACCATGCAAGCACATCATTTCTCATCACCAACCGCCAAGAAGCAAACACACGTCGAGATGCGATACCTATTCCTCGTCGTCTACGCCGTCCGAGTTCCAACACTCCTGTCCCAACCGCCTACTGTCCATCCGTGACCCGGCCACGGAAGACAAGCAAACGTCCCAGTCACCAGCCCGGTCTCCCGCCCGTCCCGACCCTCTACCCAGCGTGATCAGATACCGGGCTGACCCTTGCTCTTTCCTGTTGCCCAAATAGTTTGATTGACTGAGGCCGCTTCCGATTCGCCCCGCCAGTTGCTCCTCACACGACTCCATAAGTTGAATGTGAGCTGGAAGAATGCTCGACGACTGCCACTTTCTGTACAGCATTGCCACTAAAACCACATTCGTAGACCATTATGACGAAGGCAAGTATTATACATGACAGAATATCAGATTGCTCCAAGCTATCTAGTAAAGACTACTACTACGTGTATCAAATTCCTCTATATTCGCATCAAACGTATGTCCATCTCACTGCCGCTGTCAAACAACTATGACGCGTCCGACGTTACGCCTCATCCGCAGCCTCCTCAGTTCTCAAGAGTTGTGCTTAACAACGCTGGCCTGACTCCTTCGAATTCCACCACCCAACCCTATCGTCATGTTCCAGGAGGCAATGTCCCCTGTGCTATCATTAGTCCTCTTGGTCATTCAAGGGATCGTCCCACTATCTCCCCAATGTATGATGGGGAGGCTGTAGGGCTCTGTTTACTTTCTGAAGTTTCCGGTGAAAAGCTTTCGGTCTAATTAGCAGAGGGAACGAGCTTCACCTGCAGCTTAGAAGTAATCAGGCTAGGTGAGTGACCCAGCTGCATCTCTACTTTACAACGGAGGTCGTCGAATTCCACGCTACAGGGCAGCCCTGACGTGAGGAGCATGGACAGTCCTTCCCGAGCATTCCTCGATACCTTACAGACCACGATGGCAACATCTGTTTCCAAAGATGAAGGGGTTGAGAACTTCTGCACGAAGCCTTTATTGAGCTCGTTTTTCAGCGCAGACAGACACTGCTGACTGTGTGGACATTCGAAGGCCGGGATGACCACCCCTTCGAGGTTTGGGAGGTTTCCATCTTCAAACACTCTCTCACAGAGTGGACCATCCAACCCGCCAAAGCTGTTGAGCCACTCTGAGTGATCGTGTTGTCCGTCTCTTTGAAGTGAGTGGTCCGCGAGAACATACAGCCAGCGTGTCTTTGGTGGCAGCCTTTTGATGATTGACCAAGGAGCGAGTGTTTCAGGTAACCTGAGCAGCTCGAGGTTCCGGCAACGTCCCGTCGTCACCGCTGCAATCCAATCCTCGCGGTCGTCTACTAGATGCCAGGCGAGGTCTAATTCCCGGAGAGTCTTTCTGTGCGCCATTATGTGTCGCAAGAGCTCTTCACGTTCTGCTTCGTCCCAGTCGGCGTTAGCGAGGCAATCGACAACTTTTGTAGGCCTCGACAGGCATGCACAATATGGGAAAACGTCGACAAATCCGTCACATGGACGTCATCGCTCTCTAGTTGCCGCAAGTGCAGGTTCCTGACGCTGGACCAATCCATGGCGGACCAATCTCGATAGTTGCCTGCGAAGAAATCAAGATGGACTGTCTCGCGCCGCGGTGCTGATTCTAGCAGACGTCTCGCGTCGCTGCTGCCCGAGTACGGGTCATCTTCACCCGTAGCATCAAACGTTCCAAGTGTGTTCTTGCCGAGCCGAATTTCCGTAAGCGCATCGTAGCGTGCTGGAAATCCGACGCCAGTGGGGAGACATCTTAAGAATCCTTTGATTTGGATGGGTAGCTCCAAGGTCTTGATGTTGCGCACCTGTAAAAGTACCATCATCGCCAAGACACGAGTCCGCTGGATGCCCGGCTGCAGCCAATCGTCCGTCACTTGCAGTCCGAATTGCTCCGCGGCGGCTTGCAGGAACGCCATCTCCGACGCCGTGAAGGCCAGCCCATCCTCATCCCAGGGCCGACTTGACGCTCCTTCGTCTCTTTGGCACCGATATAGAGAGACTGCACCGCCAACGGCTGTCACGGGCGGCTGGAACCACTGGAGCTAAGTGAACAGCTGCCGCTAGAAGGACCCAACGTCTCAAGAGATATGGCTTCTATCAAGACAAACATTCATGTCAACTCCATTACCTCACTTGATGAGCGCCTTGAACCTGTGGTAAAGCCTTAGTCGGATGTCTCTAATCTTTGTCAATTACCAAGAGCCTAATGGTAGAACCTCCAATATGGATGGTTGTCCATCTGACCATCCTCGTCATAGTCGATCACCATATCTCGAGGCGGTTTCCCAGACTGCCGATCTCGCCTCCTATTTTCCCTGATATTCATCACCGTCACAAACGCGGCCCCAACACCAGTCCAACACGTAGCCGCAAACAACGTCCAGAACCCCTTCTTGTAGCTCGGCCCATCCGTCGAAGGGAAGAGATACCCCGTCGCAATGCCCATTGTACTCCCAAAAGACTGAAACAACCCCGTCGCGATCCCCTTCTTGATATCACCGCAGCAATTACTCGTGATGTTGCCAACGCTCAACGTAACACCTGACAAAATTCCAGACAAGATCAAAAACGTCGCGCCATACCTCGCACTCGCAGCCGTATGCGGCAACACGGCAAGCAACAAATCTCCAATAGCAGCAACAACAGAACACCCCACCAACAACCCCGAACACGACTTCACCCGATCACTCGCCCACCCGACAACAAACACCATGACAAACGCAACACAATACGGCGGCGCCGTCATCAACTGCGCCTTGACATTATCATACCCAAACGTTGCCACAATAATCGGCGTAAACGTCGCAATCGTGTACGTCTGCAGCACCTGTCCCATGTAAATCGCAATGTTCAGCCACAGCCGCCAGTCCCCCGTCAGTTGCGCCGCCGTCGTGCGCCAGTGGACTTTGCCGTGCGTGCGGTTACCGTCACGCATCATCCGCCAGGTGGCGACGTCGCGCTCGCGCGGGGTGAGCCAGCGCGTGTTGTGTGGGCGGTCGGGCAGGACCCAGATGCAGGCTACGCCGAAGAGGATGGTGACGAGCCCCTCGATGACGAAGAGGGCTTGCCAGTGCTTTATGAGCGGGTTGGAGATGTTGGAGACGCCGTAGGCTACCCAGCCGCCGAAGGCGCCTGCGAGGGGGGTTGCTGAGAGGTAGACGCTTATGCGACGGCCCCATTCCTGAGATTGTTAGGTTTTGGGGACAAGAAGAAAGTATCAAGAGGTTTGCGGGAGTAACTCACAGCTCTGGGGTAGAGAACAGTCGTCAGATACGGCGCCCCGGAGATGAAGGCCGCTTCAAAGATGCCAAGGAAGAACCGGATCGCGAACATCCCGCTGGGACCGCCGGCAACAGCTTGCAGCGTCGCAAAGATGCCCCAGATGATCTATGAGCTTAGTGAGCTTTCGTCCATGTACTGATACCCCTCTTGCGCATCAAACTGACCATAGCCGTAGCAAGGTACACCGAAGGCCGGATATACCTCATCCCAATATTCGTAAACAGGTCAGAAATCGCCGTGCCGACAAAGAACATGCTCACGGCGAGAGAGAAGTCTCTGCTCGTGAACCCAAGATCTTCCTTGATCCCCATCAGCGCCGCGTTCCCCAGCGCCCCACGGTCCAGCCAGGTGAACATGTAGAGAATGAGCAGGAAGGGAGGCAGTCGCATATCAATCTTTCTCCGTACGCGTCTCTCCTCCTCTGGCGTCACAGGCGGATCAAGGTTGTTCATCCGCGCTACGATGTCTTCGTCTGCGTGGGCCTCGAGGGGTGCCTCTGAGTGCGATCCGCCGGTTTCTTCATCGTTGAGTGAGCCATTTTTGTGTAGGCCTTTGATGTCCGTGGATTTCGTTACTTCTGCCATCATGTTACGCGGGCGACCGTCGAAATCTTGAATACAGTGCCTACGAGGCAACCTGAAGGCCTCCTGGTGAGTAAAAGTGGTCGTAGACAGTTCTCGATTCTCTCTTCACAATAAGTCAGAGATACCTGCATAGGAACTGAGTTTCATACGTCTATATTAGCGATGCGCGATGATTGTCGACAGTGTTGGCAATTACAAGCTTTAGTTTCATCCCAAATAAAGTCCCTGTTGTCAACCTTTTTCCGTCGAGCCGCATGCCGCGTTGAGAGTTTCTCGACCCCTCCTCGGCCTGTCCCGCGCGTACAAACACCCGAGCTCCCCAACTTCCCCCGCACGCGAGACCGAGAAGCGGTATACCAAAGTCGGCCAGTTGCATGAGGTGAAGCTTGATTCGCACCGATAACGCATGTGAGTGAGTTGTTCCACGAGTATCGGTCGGCTACGGTGCCGATCCCTTCTCGGTTTCAATCCCCTGCGCAAAGAGTATGAGGAGAATGGGACTGGTCGGATCTAAGGAGATCCTTTCAATTTGGCCGCCAGGTTGAGCATCCACGGGAATGAATAGCTCGTCGAGCGACACAGAAGAGAACAAGCGGCCTCGAAGCATTTTGTACGACTTACAGGCTCTAAGATCTTGGCTACGAGGTTTGACATTTGTATCTTTGCCGATTACGGGAGGAAATCCGCACCGAAGTCGGATGATACCAAGTTCAGTTTTCCATGAAATGTTTCTCTCAGAAGGCAGCATAGAGCAGCAATTCAAACCTTTTGAGGAAGAAACAGCAAGCCAAACGCAAAGTATAATTGATTTGAAGGAATGACAAAATACTGTAGCCTGCTTCAAACTCGTGTGCCAAGAGACAGGGTTCATTGTGCGCGCCCTGCCGCAAATGACTGGGGTCTCAAAACCAACAAATCAACGATTCGATATCGTAGTCGGTGGTTTTAAGATCTGCTCGTTCATGCCGAAGTTATCAAGCATCACGAATCACCTTCAAAGTATCGCAGCTATGTCCCTTTCTCGAGAGATGTGCTCCGGCTTGCCCGAGGAACGAGACGCAGTTGGCGATGCCGGACCACTTCGACGGGAATTATAACCCCCGATCCTCAGCGAAAGGCCAAGGCCCATTGAAAATGTAGTTTGGCTCTTCTCTCGAACTCTAGGCTCTCGAAGAGTATAAAAGAAAACGAAAGTCGTTACATTACGATGGTTGCAGCTTAGATCGAGAACCCAGGTCCTCGTGCACCTTTACACATAATCATTCAGCCAACGTACACGATGAAGTTCACGTCAACGACGTGCGGCCTCGGTGCCCTTCTCACCCTTCTCGTTCCAGCTCTAGCGGACGAATCTGCGCGCATCATCACTTTCCTCACCCGAAAGGCTGGAATGACGGAGCAAGAGTTCCACGATCACTGGACGAACACGCATGGCCCCCTCGTCGTGCCATGGGCTCTCCAGTACGGCGTCAACTGGTACACACAGGTAAGTGACGTGATATCATTACCCAATCCTTAATCAAGAGCCTTTGGAGCTCACCGAGATGGATTCCACAGTACCACACCACCGAGGCAAATCGCACGACCCTTCAGAAAGCTCTAAGGCTGCCGGACGAATACCTCTTACAATACGACGGAGCAGCCGACTTCACCGTATCGAGCATCGAGCAGTTCTTGTCCGCTTATGCGGACCCTTACTACAAAGAGGTCATTGAGCCCGACGAGAAGTTACTGTTTACTCATAGTGGAGATGTGATGGTATTGCGGGGCTCGCTGGGATGGACTACAGACATTGTTGAAAATGGCGGAGCTGTGGTGGATGCCGCAGGTGCTTGTAGCAAGTGGCGAGAAATTCATGGAAGTGCGGGAAGGGGGTGTTGATGATTCCGACGCGCCGGTCAAATCTACCTTATGGGCTGATTTTCTTAATGACACCGAGTCGTGAATGTTTTCTCTCTCAGCTAAAAAGCCTGGTTATCGAGGCTAGCTCTTTGGGACATCACCGAGCAATTAGGATGTCTCCTAGACTTCGTTCGCAAAGAGTATCATGATGAGTGGACGGGTACTTCACATAGAGCTGAGAGCCGGCCCGGTGTTGGTACTTCTACACAGCCAATAGTTTGGTCTTCAAGTGGTTCGTTGGGTAATTCATTGCCTCGCATTGGTCGCTTGAAAGTCGTACCTACATGCCATACCCTAGCTCAGCACCGGGCCGGCTACATGCGCTTGCGGCCCGTAGTATTGAACCTCAGATTTACGCCAAATACGCGGGGCAAAGGGTCGAGAGTCACCTAACGATCAAGAAACAACATTTCGTGGATAAAATCTTGGTTGAATTTTATTGTTTAGATCTCTGCTTCAACTCACCGCGCTGCCTTACCAGGGCTGAAATCTGGTTGCCCAAGTCCGAGTTCAACGCCTTGAATCCCTCGACAACACCTTGGCGATCACCCTCGCCCAACTCCTGGCTCATCTTGAATTTGCCCTGCAGCCTGTCGATGGTAATCTCGATGCCAATGATAGCCATTTTAGACAGATCAATGTACCGTTGCGGGGCATCCGAGATTTGCCACGGCCCAGGACGGCCGTCTTGACCAGTGTATCCCATGATTGACTGCTCTCCCAGTTGTGAGAGATCGTGGAGCTGCTTGTTCAGGAAACTCGACGTCTCCTCGGCCTTGGACTCGTAAAAGATCTTGGCGCGGCCATACGCCTGTACCGCGGCGTAGTTCCAGGTCGGCACGACTTTGGCCGTTGTTGGCTTCGTCTCGACGTAGAATTTCGGTGTCACATAGGAGTGGGCGGGTGCGGTGAAGAGGACCAGCACCTCCTGATCGAGAACGTTTCCGGTCCCAGTCCGGTTTTCTGCTTCTAGTGACTCAACCATCGCCTTGCACTGAGGATTTGCGCGCGCCATATGACCTCTTAGGACGCCGAGCTCGGTTTCAGAATCATCTTCAACATCCAATACCCAGGGGATATGGCTAGACTGGATGAATGGGTGATCGGCTGATGGTATGGCTGTTGTGAGGACGCCGAGGGGATAGTCCTTGATGAGTTGACGAAGGACCCGGATGCTGTTCTCCACGTGATCTTTCCGAAGCTGCATGGTGTCGAAGACAAGGAAACAGGCACATAAATATGGCTAAATGGCGTTGTTGTTCGTTGATAACGATGGGTTGTAATTGATAGCGCTGAAGTTGATCCAGTGACGGCGGTTTATGTCGGTCTACCGGCTTTATAGGGCCGGGCGCTTCCGTGTATTTCCTCTAGTTCCTGCCGGAACGTAATAGGACATGGGTTTGAAAGGGCGTGCTTGCGGTCCACTAATTATGGTTTCTAATGTCAATTGCGGAAGTTTTCGCCTCCGCAGGTACTGGCAATGACTATGTCACAACCACATCTAGAAAGTATGTTCATTAGCCTTGTTGGCACGGCGCCAGAGGCCGGAAGGGCTCGATCTTCGACGACCCCATTTCCTTGTAGTCAATGACCCCAGCCACTTACCACTGTACTCGTGTTTAATAAAGCCCGTTCCGCAGTCTCAAGAGTAGCTTGGCCGTCACTGTCGGGAGCCACTCAGCCCTGGTGACTTGAACCCCAACACGATATCTCTGCGTGAGATAGGTTAGATAGCTTCGGTGCGGGTGACTCTTGTCTGAATCCGCATGGAAAGTGCACAAGCAAATGAGATTGCATGATCAACGGCCTTTACATATGTACGTACTCTCTGAAGAATTTCGAGGGATGTTGTTTGACACAAACCGCCAATCACAAGAGACTGATTGCATCCGGGTGCAGAAACCCTGACCCCGTCGACAAGACGGTGTGGATATGATGGGCCTGGCTTGGCACCGGCTCCAATGCCGCTTGTCTGCCGGAATAGAAGTGAGGGGACTGGTGGGTACCAGGATCAGGAACCGGCGGTCGGGCCAGCCTTGTCTCCCTGATATGAAAGGTTTCGCACTCTCGACGGAGTGATCCGATGAAGTCACGCTGTAGACTGCGTATTGTATAACAAAGAGATGAAGTAAATCATACTGCTGTACTGAATACGGAAGCATTTTCAATGGCTCCTTCGGTTTCCCCAATGGCCGCCACGTCACCAGCTGACCAATGTCCCACCTGCGTGTGTACGATCACGTGCTTGCCATTGGCGGACAGGAAGTCATGAATTGGCAGTAAAGAAGTGAAGAAGGGCGACTTCTCTTGGAAGGGGGCCTTTCACGAACAGATAAATAGATATAAGTGAAATCTAAGAAACATAATTAGCTGGCTGGCTGCAACACTCAGTCGCGGGCAATAGGGCTGACACGGAAGGTGGAAAAGGAAAGACAGGATAGTAGGCGAAACAAAAGTAACACATATCCTAATGCTACGTCGCTGATGTGTTTAACACCACGATTCTACAACAACATTTCGGAGTCGTTCAGCCTCTGCCCATGAGCGCTGTCAGGCGCGCACCGAGACATATCCTCTTATTTATTACTTCGTACTCTTTTGCTATAAGGTATTACTCGTACTATTTCGCCTTCCCCCGAGATTAATTTATAACTACCCTATTCTTAATACTGTAAGCTTTTTTTAATTATAAATGCGAACTATTGCCCTACTCGCCTAGCTCCTCGCGCTTATCCTTATTTTTGTTATTAAAATTTATTACTATCGTTTTTTTATTATTTAAATTTGAACTCGACGAAGACGACTTACCTCTAGCTCGTATCTTTTTACTCTCAGGGCCTTGTTAGCAGACCTTAGAAGCGGGGCGAGCCTTTACGTTAGTACTCGTCCTCGTCCTCGTCGTTACTATTTATTTTGACGATTTCTTGACTCGAGGATGGGATTTGAGCTGTGGTTATGCATCGAGATAAAGTATTACGTAATAGGGATAGTAACCGTATCTTACGAAGTGCCCGTTACGTACTAAATTATATATCTATTTTTTGTATTATATATAGTAGATTTTTTCTAGCTTTATAAATAGAAAAAATCGATCTTAACGG